TGTTTGCGTGTCTGTGACAAAGAAATCGTGCCAAAATACAACCCCCAAAAAGCTCAAATTTCGGCAAAAAGCTTTCCCTCAAGAAAGGAAAGGAGAGTAAATGGCAGACAACATAAAACTTATTGCGCATTTACGTGGAAAAACTGTCTAGACAGGGATTTAAAGGCAGGCCAGGCCGCCAACAAATTTAACTGAAACCTAAATCGAAAGCAAAATAGAATCCGATTAGATGTTCCGTTGTAGAATCCTATTTTTAGATCTCCGCTATATTTGCATCACTCTATTCTCTGTGAGTGTGTGTGTGTGTGTGCCTCCCCAGAGAGTTTCCAATGGAAATTCCAATTTGAAATGAAAATGAAATTATTGCAAAATCGAAGCACGCACACACATAGATGTATCTAACGGTCTCTCTCTCTCTCGCTCTCACTCACTCTTGTTGCACTTTCTCGTGTGTGTGAGGCAAAGTGCATTGACTTTTCTGCCTGTTGTTATGGCTGCTCCTCGCCGCCCCTCTATCATTCCATGTGTATGTGTGTGTGTGTGTGTGGCATGGGGCCAACCCAACCCACATTGCAGCGGCCAATTCCAATTTGTTGTAATTTTGTCTGTGGCTGTTGTTGTATTTGTTGCAAAATGCAAATAGTATCATAAAGCGCAACATGTTGGGTATTTAGCGAATCAATGGGGGGCTATCCCCCCCATCCCGCAGTACGAGTTCGTGCAATTGTGCTGGTCGGGGGTGTCGGTTTTAGCTCTCATTTGTGTGTGAATTATTTAATGAGTTTGCTTGAGTGAAAGGAAAGAGCCATAAGAGAGAGAGAGGTCTATAAAATATATACAAATTGCAACCACTCTTAATTATATATAGGATTTATGCACTTGTGTTCTTACATTTCTGTAATTAAGATTAAGAATGTCTAAAATTGCGCATAAACAAAAAGAGCTGTAAAAAGTCGATAAAGCTACCATAGAAATATTCCGTCATGTAAAAAGATTTTTCCGAAAATCTTTTGTAAGTGAAGATTGTTAGTCCACTGCATTGCACTTGCACTTACACTTACTTACTTACTGCTCCCACTTCTATTAGCTTTCCTACTCGGACCATTCATCATCAGTTGTCATACTTATAGTATTACAGCAGCACTCCCTACACTCACGTCACGTATACGCCCGCTGTATTCCGATCAACACGCTCCGTAATCACGATAAATATAGTCAAATGTGAGGATTTACTACTTTACGAATACCTCTCGACATTGTATCTCAAATTGGTGCATTTGCAAAGTAGAATCTGCAACATTGTAGCTGTTCTGTTGAGCAGAAGAGGCATACAAAAGGAGAAGGAAAAGAAAAGAATGGATGGTAAAAACTAGTTTAGTAGGAATTTGATGGCTTGCATTGTGGGGCTACTGAGTTACGTGGCATTTAATTAAATAAATTTACTGGAGCATATTGTACTGATGGGCCTCGGGCCCGGGTAAATGTGTGCTAAATTGATTGAGAGCTGCCACAGGCTGGGAGCTGGGGCTCCCTGGCACAGTGAGTGCCATAAATTAACGAACAAACATGAAACAAGTCTACTTAGAGTTGCATATCGTATAATTTTCACAAAAAAAGATAGCCAAAACGAAGACAGAAAGCGAAAACTGGGTCAACCTGATGCACAGAGAGGCTGTCGCGTTCGCTGTCGCTGTCTATCCGGCCCCACAGAGACGTGGCAAATATGTAACTCAAAAAGATATGCAGCAGCTGTGGATGTACATGTACAAATACTCATAGAGTATGTAGTTGCTGGCTGGCTGTGGCTGGCTGCAAGCCGAAAAATCAAGTAAAACCGTAACCCACGTTTCGCTTCATTTGCTCGCGGTGGAAAAGTAAGTAAAAACGGCAGCTACAGCTACAGCTACACGACGCCAAATTTATGTCTGTTTGGATTTCACCCACGCAGCACCAGCAGCCACAGCAGCAACGGCGTCAACGGCGGCATTGGGCCAGTAGCAGTGGCAGTAACAGAGAGATAACACTAACAGCAGAGGACACATTGATAGCATCAACATAACCTGTAACGAGATGCGAGAAATATTGCCTCAGAAGAAGAGCATTAATTAAAATTCCTTGACCCACGAACACAGGTACAGGGAAAGCTCCGTAATGGTGAAAATACTAATCCTTAATCCTCCCATTATCTGTTTAATGGATGGATATCGTAGCCCATCTGTTGCTGTACAGTACTTCAGTGGGAGCCAGCGAGAAAGAGATGGGATACCGACCCCGCCGACTCTGCCCACAAAGTCGTGATTCCGCCTGCCGTCTGCAGCCTGCCGTATGGAGCAGCGTTCACTTTCAAAATCAGTGAAATGTAACCGAAAAACAAAAACAACGAAAAACAACAAAAATAGTAGCGAATTGATGTTGCATTGTGTTTGGCTGTCTGTTAGCTGTTTGCATTATTCACTTGGCTTACAAATAGAGGTTAATTTATTGTGACTTGATTGAGCCGCGGCTCGCGAGCAGGCGCATCAAATATGCAGAAGAGAAACTGCAGTTGGGGAAACCCACACACTGCACTGCGTTCCATAGATTATACAAATATGTATTATAAAGATAAGGTAAGATCTATAGTTTACGAGTGTGGATTTCTTTTGGGGGGCGTTTTTTCTCTGGGTGTACCAGTTTCTTGTCTTTGGGGCAGCTTTGCTGTTCTGATGATTCAGAGATCCTCCGATCGTCTTGATGGCACAAATAAATGAACATGGCATGGCCCTACCGCAAATGCAACGGGCATGACAGGCCTTAGTGGTCGAGAGCCGTTCATGTTATTGGAATCAATTACAGTGATCCAGAACTCCAGACAAACGCAAGTACATAAGTACGCGAGTTGTATGCATGACGGGGAGAGGCAATGTGTGTATCCAATCCCTGCTGTGGCTGGCAGATAAACATCCGAGAGAGAGAGAGAGAAAACGGAATGCGATCGTTGCAGCCGACAATGACCTTCGGGGCTGATGATCTGGCATTGAACACTGGACTGGCTTGCAGATGGGAGGTACATATGTATGTACATACGACTATGTACAGATGTATATACATTTGTGTGTGTTATTTATTGTACGTATGTATGTATGTAGCTATGCTTTGTACTATGTACATGCTTGCTGTTGCTGTTGACATAATTTAGCCACTTGTGCTTGCTTAACCCTCTTTCTCGCATTTAGCCAATTAACTCAATAAGCCAAATAAGTGAGTAGCAGGCGCCACGGGCCGGGAGACATGCGCGATGTGCGATGGAGTTGTTGTCGGTGACGCGCGCGCGCATTCCAATCCAAGTTTGCAGCTCGTTTATGGCGGCTGCACTTCATGTTGCAACAACTGCTGCTGCTGCTGCTGCTGCACTTGACTTACTTGCCACTCTCTGGCTCTGGCTCTACCTCTCTTTCTTTCTCTCTCTCTCTATCTGTCTCCCTGTCCGTGCTGCATCTGGTAACTGCCATCTTTGCAATGCATTTCACTTTCATTATGATGCAGTCAGTTTTTGCCACTAAAAATGGCAACGGGGCAATGCCAATGTGTGGTTTTTCCGAGTCAAAATGAAAAACCAGTTGGGAGTCGCGCGGCGGCTGCATCTGCAGCAGTTTTCCCCCGCTCTCTTTCTCCCCCTCCCCATACCACGACAGCTCACCTTCTCTCTCTCTCACAGACAACAGCTGACAGCTGCAGTCACCTCGTGGAGTGTCTCAGTGTAGGCGTCTTTCAGCCTTGTCTCTTTTGTTTCTGCTTCCTTTCGCCGCATCCTCCCCCTCTCTGTCTCTCTCTCTCTCACCTTTCGTTAGTTGTTTTTACTTTCTTCTAATAGATCGTTAGCCGTGCCATGAACTTGCAATTGATTGCTTATTGTTAAATGAAAATGGAAAGTCATTTTCGTATGCAGTGCTTTTTTTATATTTTATTTTTATTTTCGTTTTCCTTTTCGTGGGTTTTCATTAACGATGCCTTTGTTGTCGCTTTCCCGAAACAAAACTTTAAGGAGATCCCCCAAACAGTGCAAGCGGGTCAAATACCAGTATTTCGTGTGTGTGCACCGAAAGAAAAAGCTTCCCTTGATATTTACATGTTACATCTACACTCGAAGAAAAGTGGCACAGTCTATTCTCCAGTTCTTATTGGCTCAATGTCTAAGCATCCCCCATTTCGTTCAGTGTAGTAAATTCTTGACTCGCGTTTGGTATTTTTATTGATTTGCCAGCTGGCCACACGGAAAGCGAAAGTAATTACAGTTAGTCATGCAACGCAGCAGCAGCAGCGGACGCAGCAGCGTGTGTACACACCCACCCACACGCTCTCACGCACACACACACACACATTCTAAGTAGATAAAGAAGAAGCGATAAAATGCAGCAAACGCCAATGCCAACCCCAATTGCAGTCAGCAGCAGCAGCAGCGTAGCGGACAGACGGACCCTTGAATGACTTTCTTATAGTTTTTGTCTCCCTCCCTCTATGTGTGTGTGTTTGTGTCCCCTCCCCGCACGCAACAGAATCAATTTTTATTGGTTACACAACGACGCCAGCAGCGTTGGTAGGGGAGGGAGGCGGTGGAAGTCCGTGGGAAGGGAAGTGCATTGACCCCTCCAGCCGACGACGACTCATGAGTTTAGTACTTCTTTCCCTGCCCACCGAGGAAAGGGTACATCTGTTGTCCCAATCATGTTACAACGGATGAAGGGCAGGGGAAGAATATGTGGGTAATTTTTTCACACGGAATGCCAGGGTATGCCATGGTTCGGCTCCATCAACTGTTCCTCTCTCCCCCATTGTTGCTCCCTCATTTTGTGGTGTTTTCAGTTGAGTTGGCGCTGGGCTTGGGAAACTTCATGCAGAGCCAAACATACATAAGAACATGCTTATGCCTTGGGAACAGTTTAGTTTGCCCTAGAGATTTGTATCGGTGTCTTAGCTGTTATTAACCGTCCAGAAAGGGAAATCAACTTTAAGGAATATGCGAATGTAATATGTATCTTGTGTTTATTGTCATTGAAATACTGCCAAACAATCCTTAGAAATTCCAGGAGGCCCTAACGCCGCCGCCATAGTCGTTGCGATTGTGATCAAAATTGCGACTTGCCTGGGCATAGGCATCGACAGAGCCACGCCCATCGCGGCTTGAGTACAGATTGTGATTGTACTGCACGCTGGCCTCGCGGCCTCTCTGGGCATCCTTGCTGGCCTCCACAACCACAGAGCCGCCTTCGGGAGAGCGTACATGGCGAACCAGGGACAGATCTCCATCGTAGTACTCCGCCGCCGGATCGGGCTGGGGATAGGCAAACGCCAGAGCCAGGAGACAGCAGGCGAGGACGAACACGATGGTGCACTTGTTGGAAGACATCTTGGCTTGGCGGATGGTAGAATCAAACTGATGTCCAAGTGGCGTTCGCTTGCAGCTTTTATAGGCGAATTCGAATTAAAGAATTGAAAATGGGATTTACGTCTGTACGGGGAATCCTATTTGAAGATGAAATTGTCTCTTATCTGTCCCCAGAGGGTGCTTTTTTCAAAAGGTGCATCCCCAATCCGAGGTTCATTATCAGTCAACATATGTACATATGTTTTATATTATATATGGTTTGTTTTTCAGACTATGCCTATCAGGAACCTATCATTCACTTACTCGTATGGCTGAGGCGCTGCATTTGGGGAACCATTAAGGATTCCATTTCAGTTTTAGGAACGTTTAGCAACTCCACTGCTGAGTGCTGGTCCCCGGGAATGCCCAACAGTTTCTTATTAAAATTTGACTGATGTCTAGTCCATATGGGTTCTCTGGCTTGCCCGGAAAAGTACTAAACACAAAGAAAGACAAAACACAGTTCGGGCAAAGACAATATAAGAATACGTATATTGTCTTTGGTTCGGAATATCAACCCAAGAAACAGAGGAAGCAATGACTGCTCAGAAAATAATTCCCATGATGCGTGTCTAGTGTAGAGCTGAGTCTTAGTATCCTTAATATTCTTAGAACGCTAAAGAGTCTCTTTGTGAGGTAATTCTTGGATTAACAAGGAAACCCACCGGATAAGCTTATTCCAATCAGCTCGTAAGGGGGGCGCGCCCTGTCCGTAATAACTTTTCTTTTCTAAACGCATTCGAATCGGCTGGGCCTACGCAACAAGCATTCAGATAACGCAAGAAATAAGCTCTATAAAAGCACACACACACGCAGCCAATAAAAAACTATCAAGAAAGCAACAACGACTGAAAAATCATTAAGTAGAATTTAGTTCAAATGAGTTCGTTGACACAGAAACGAAAGAAATCAAAATAAGATTTTAGTTTTCCCGTGCGTATGGTCTCTCCCCGGTCTCCACCAAACGCAAACCCACACGCACAATTCTTTTAAAATTTTGTTTCGTATAGCTTTCTTGCCGCTTTAGTTATCGGCATTGGAGATAGCGACCACATCGTCATTGATTAGTACTTCGAGTGGCATAAATGAATGCCTAATCGGAACCAAAACCGAAGTAGAAAAAGACAAAAAAAGAAAATAAACCTTTGCCAAATGCTGAACGGCTTGCCATGAACTTGAATTTTGATGATTGTGAAAGTAAATGGTGATATATGTATACGATTGTACATACATACATATGTACATATTTACAGTGTGTCTGGAGATTCGTATTTGAATGGAACTCTCTCAATTCTTCGGACGAGAACTGATTTCTAATCACAATTTCGAGTGCCGTAATTAGATGTATGCGTACGTACTGCTGCCCTCGGCAAGCGAGATCTCAATGCGAAAGTCTGTCCGTCTGTCTGCCTACCAGTCCATGCATACATACACATACATGTGTATGTACACTCAGAGAAAAATGTCATGTTCAAATAGAAATTGAATATTCGGTTATTAAATAAAACTGAAATTAAAAATTAGATACAATTTGATTTAAACACAAATTACTTTAAAAATTGCATTATTTAAATCGAATATTTTCACTTTCTTTATACAATTCCTACTTTCAAAATAAATCTAGTGGCATACATTTTAAAATATAATTGTTGCAGGGCGTTGTTTGTTTTTCTCTGGGTGTAGGATCATTTGCGGGTGAAAGTTGTTTGCATGTGCCGCCGTCGCTTAGGTCTCCTCCACTCGATTTAGATTTCATTTACCTGGACTGTGCGGCGTTATCTATTGAATATCAAGCTATGCATTTACATCTTTTGTCACCTGCTGGCTATTTATCTGGCTGGTATGACTGCCAGGCCCTCGGGGCGTATACACAATGTGAAATAGAAAACCAACCAAAAAGCCCAGCTTGGAAAAGAGAAAAAGATACAAAAAATCTCATCGACACGTGTCGATGTCTTAGAAGTTGTCGAGTCATAATGGTACAGTTTTATAGATCTACCCAAAAGAATCCCGGGTGGGGGTGGGGTAGAGAAACGAACATTTCACATTTCGATTTGATTTGTTTTTTTTTATCCAAAACAATTAATATCAAAATTCATTGAGAGTGGTACGATGATGGCGCTGAATGAAAGCCTACATAGCATATGTACATATATACTTATAGGTACATAAATATGTATGTATGTATGTGTGTATTCTTGTCTGGTGGGGCAGCCATTTGTCTAGGTTCAACGACGGACAGACAGCCAAAAAAATGCGTGGCGTACGCACGCTTTCAAAATAAATTATATATGCGGCGATGATACGTTAATATATATACAAATGCGTCCACATATGTATGTATGTGCGTACCTCCCATATATTTTTTATGTCTATATATATTAGAGATATCTCTCCCTCTCTGTTGCTCTCTGGCTGTTTTAAAAAAGATTTATTTGCCAAAAAAATATTGTATGACGACAAAAAGAGCAATAAAATACTGTGGGCCAGAGACGAAGACACGTCTGCTGCTGCTGCTGCTTCTGCTTTTGGCCCGTTTAATGTGTGGTCTCTGCTCTCCAAGTTTGTCAACAAAGGAAGAAGAAAGACGGAGAAGAAGCAGGCCAAAAAGATGGGTAAGAAGATGGCCTAAGAGGGAAGCACCAGCAGTGAAAAGTAGCTGGCTAAAACAAGCTTTAAAAGTTCCTTTGGTTTCCGGCGATTGATGAGGAAAAAATACCAGCAAGAGGGAAAATAATATCTTGTCTCAGTCTCCGTCGAGAGAAGTTCTACTTCTACGGTAATGGAGAACGAACCCAAGAATAGAGAATCGAGAGTGGAAGAGAAGTGAAGTGAAGAGAGGCTGTTCTGTGGTGGCTGCTTTTATTGTTATTGTTATTGCTGTGTTGTGTTGTGTTATGCGTTGCGCTCAAGTCAAGTTCAAGGACTGTCAATTAAATTGAAATCACTTGCTAAAGACGCGCAACGCAGCACAAAACAAGCTTCCAGATGAGTCGTCTCACAGTGGAGTGGAGGAGCAGAGATGAAGAGACACTGGTACCATGGGGCTGCCTGTCAAGCTGGAGATTCGCTTCTTCTGGCTTGTATCTATGTGTCTGTGTGTGTGTATCTGTTGCTATACAGTGCCTCTGTTTTTGTTCGATTTTGCACGCAGCTCGTTTACATTTTGTTATTGCGGATGCTGCGTAGTAGTTACAGTGCGGTAATTGTACGGCCGCCCGTTGATGATGATGCTGCCTGCCTTCCATCTGCTGTATACTCGTAGTAGAGTCTAGGTTTCTCTCTGAGTGATCTTCTTTTGTAAGTCATCTTAGCTTTAAGCGAGTGAAGTTCGACTCGATTCTGGTTCGTAAAACGTTCTCAAACTGTTGCCAGTCACCGTCACAGTCCCAGGCCCCAATCTAGAAATGTTTCAAGTGAGGGCGTGTCCATGGAGAATGCTTGATATATGTATATATAATATATACAATGCTCGGCATATATTCATGACTGGCATTGGTAAATGAGGTCTCTTTAAGAGGTCTTAAAATGCTGAAGAACTGTAACAGACTTTTCATTAAAATCTACAAAAAGCATGGGAAAACAGGGGAGTCTTTCATCCAAAAGAACTGTAATATAAAACAAGGATATAGCATATCCTTAAGAGTATTATCTGAGCAGCTACATTTCCATCTGAACTTATTTTCTTAATGGACAAATCATAACTGGCACGACCCAGACCCCACACCCCAGCTCAATCCAAAAGCAATGCACGGGCGGGCCCAGGGGCAATTCCTAACTATGTTTTTAGGCCAACTTTCAGTTTCTCGAAAATGTGAATCGAGGTTTTCATATCAAATGTGGTCACAGCCACCAGCCACCAGCCACCAGCCAGCAGCCAGCCAGTCGACAGCCGCCTCGCATACGAGTAAATGCATAATTAATGATGATTTTTTGTTGTTGAGCGGCGCGGCGCGTATTTGTTTCTTCAGTTGATTAGCATAATGCCAAATACATACGATAGATACCGATACCATAAAATATGTGTGTACCATACATACGGGTGTGAATCTATAGATCCGCTTGATTCAGTAAACAACTTTACACGTGCTCGAAAATAAAAAGGAAATTCTATAAGAAATGTGAACTCTGGATTTATGGATATATTTTCTTTGTGTAAAGAACTTTTTTCGTATTATTTTTTTGACCGAAGAAATTTGCTTTTAGCCGCTAAACAGAAACAGCTAACTTGTCAATCCATCAGCGACAAAGCCAGCGAAAAGGAAGCGCCGGAAACCCATCAGTGGGAGGGAGGGATCCCGGGAGAGGTGCTCTATACGAACTATGTGGAACTCTTGCCCTGCCAATATGTTGCCAATAAAAAGCATTTTTTGCTTCGTTTCGTTAATCAATACACGAAATTCATTTTATTTTCTTCTTTCATGTTTTTTTTTCGTTGCTTTTGTTTTTAGAATATTTTTGTATGCCCAGAATTTAAATTAGTAGGAAATCTGGTTTTCTGGTTTTCTGATTTCGGGTTCCCTTCTCTCTCTCTCTATCTCTCTCTCTCTGGCTAATTCCTCAACTTCTGATTGTGTTTGCTCTCTGTTCTGCTCAGTATTCTTGTTTTTGTCTGCCTTCTGGATCTTGGGATCTTTTTCTGCGACGTTATTACAGGTGAATTCTGTAGTTTTTTTTTTGTTTTAGCTGTTGCTGTGCCTTCTTCAAACCCCTACCCACCAAAAAAAGAGCCTACCAAGAGCAGAGCCAGAAAACAAAATGAAATGAGTTTTGCTTGAAATCGAAATGCTTTGGGCCATTGATCATTTATTGATCGAGACAGAAACAGAAAAAGGGAGAAGCAAAGGAAATGGCATTTGGGATTTCAGAACCCATACACTCAGAGAAAAAAGAAATACACTCATATTTACTGAATATTTATTTTAAGTGTGAATATTAAACTTTCAGGGCATCTGCCAATGGAAACTTTGACTTAAGAATTTGTTCAGATATTAAGGCATTAATTGCATTGAAGTTTTGCATATTTATTTCTGGATAGCATTTATACAAATGTAAAATGTTTCAGCATTAATTTCATAATATTAAAACGTATTTTCTCTGCCACTTTCGGACGACAGAAATCCCAGAATTCATGGCTCTGCGAATGTGCAAGCACGGGTACGAGAGTACCAGTAAAATATATGTATAAATGGATAATAAAAATCAGTGATAACGAACCCAATGTGGGTCAGATGGATGGCAATGTTTTCTGTTCCATTCTGGTTTCTGTCTCTGTTTCTGGCCAGAATAAACACTCTGCTCTTATAATTGAGGTACAAAAGTGAAACTCTCTCCGCTTCTGCATCGGATTGGAGTTTTTTGGGTTGCGGTATAAACATTTACATTTACATTTGATTAAACAACGTTTATTGATTGTTGTTCTGGCTGTGCGCACTGCATTGTTGTTTTTGTTTTCTTACGGGAATGCGTGGACCGAGCCTGGCATTTATTTTAATGCATTTCGCCAGGCGGCAGGCCCAGGCCCAGGCCTCGCAGAAGAAGAGAACAACGCAGCGGCCCGCCCAACCTCTTGTATCTGTGGCTGCATCTGTGTATCTTTTTTATCTGTGCGTATTTATTTTGGTTTTACGGCATGTAATTACATAGGGAGAGGAGCGAGAGAGAGACACAGAGATGAAGGGAAGAGACAGACAGAGACGGACAGAAATGGAATGTATTCCGTGTTCTTTTTGGTTTCGATTTTTTCACGTCTTACGTTTCTTATCATTATTTTCCTGTGTATTTTGTGCGCTTTCTGATTGCCCCGCCACTCCAGTCTCCCCGGCCTGACCCTGCACTGCCACAGCATTCATTTTTTTTTTTTGGTGGAACACTTAAGAAATTTCACTCAATATAGCGTATAATTTTTGTAGGCCGTCCGGTCGATCCATGTTTCACTTTCTCTGGCGCCTGCGAAGAGCCCTCCGAAAATACCAAGGGGAGAACCAAAGAAGATGAATGCATAGACATATTTTTGACTTAAAGAATATTTCGGTTTTCATTTCTTTGTGGCTTCATTAAAAAGGGAAATTTCTGTGCCCACAAAAAAAAAACGAAGAGAAAATAAAAACAGGTCATTCCATGGATATCTGGTGGATATTTAAGTAAAGAAAAGATTGATGGACAGATAGAATGGATAGATGAACTGCAGTATAGACTAAAAAATAATGGGAAACTGGATAATCTATGCGGATCATTTGATGCAAATTTGATTAAAGTAATTCAAAAATATTAGTTCATATTCACTCAACATTCAGGTATTTTTTAATATGATTTGGAAAATATATGTACATAGTTCAAAATTTTGTACACTACGAAAATATTTTTTTTGAAGCTTCTGTACTTACGCCTAATTCTTCTGTTTCTGATTCTGGCTCTTTCTCCGTTCCTCTGAGTCTGAGTCTGCTTCTGTTATTTTTTCATTCAGAATTTGCCACGCAATTTACGCGTTTAATTTTATGGCTGCCTCTGGCTCTGGCCCTCTGCTCTGCCCCGCACTTTATTTCCTGTAATTTTGTTGTTGTTTTTTCACACACCAATTTTTTTTATCGTGGGGGGAGAAGGCTGTATATTTATTTAATAATTGCACACATAATAGACGAAATTAAACGCTATATTTCTGTATTTGTATATACGCGTGTACAGATAGATACAAAACAGGCGCCGAAACACGCACAAAGCCAATTGAGAATTTTCAGATATCAATTTTATTTCAACTTTATTTTCGATTCAAGAATTTGTAAGCAACACTCTCACTGGAAGGGGGGAATTTTCACTTTGAAAAATAAACCCAAAAATGCATTCGAAAATTGTTAAACGGGGGCTTTTCTTCGATATGTGTATTTTTCAGATAGTTTTTGCAAAGAATTTCTGTATCTTTTGAGTGGGTATGGAAGTTATTTGGAAACCGAAACGGAACCGAAACCGAAACGAGCGACGCGTTCGCTTACATCGACGTCTGAGCAAAAAACACGAAGAATACAAAGTGCGGCTCAATTTATACGACAGAAACAGACAAGAAGATACACAGATACACATGAACACACACACAGATGCACTCGCGGCACATGTGTGGTATGAAGATATACACACACACACGCGATCGGCAGGCAGATAGCAGCGCTGCAAACGCCAGCGTTGACGCCGACAGCGACGCGCACGCAATGTTAGCGCTGCAATTAGAATGGTCTGCCTCTTGCAGCGAGAGTGAATCTCCATCTAGCCTGCACTCTCTCTCTCTCTCTCTTCTTACGCTGTGTGCAAGGTGTTTTCTATACAAGGTGATGCATACATATATGTGCATATGTATGTATGTAATTAAATAATTATGATCCGACTTAATAATAGTTGAACAGATCGATGCCATATGCTCACACCTTGTATAAATACACCATGGCCACCCACTGTTATCACTGTTGTGTGCTTTTGTCTCTTTCCATGTTTAGTTCTCTTTCTCTGCTTGGAGCTCTGTTTTTGTTGGAAGCTCTCTTCTCTGCTTTGCTCCCTCTCTTTCTCTGTGTGTTTTGTATTTTGCGGTTGATTTAGGAGCATTTTGTTGGTCCCAAAAATGGTAGTATTTCGGCATTCATCTGTTTTATTTTGGCTAATTTATTTGCATTCGTTCATTTCTCCCTCCCTCCCTCTCGCTCTCCCTCTCCCTAGCAAACGGCACAAAAATATATCTACGAGATATTTATGTACGCACACACAGATACACACACTCGCACACACACGCTGCTCTGCTTATACAGTTTCGTCCGCACACGGTCACACTCTTCCAATACGAATCGCCCCAACGGACTGAAAACAGCCGAAAACTTTTTTCTTTCGTCAACCAGCTGGCGCTTCAGTCCCCACGCTGACGTCGCTGTTGGCGTAAGCTTTTGGCAGCGCTGTCTTTTGGGGCTGCTTGCCGCTCTCTTCCACTGTTAGCTGCTCTGTTAGAGAAGAGCGGCGTGCTTGTACTGGCCACTGTTAAGGGGGGGTTGGTTGTTGGTGTGGTTTGTGGTTTTCTGCCTGTAAGGCGTTGGAGTAGTGGGAGTATTAGGAGAATTCCATCGGGGACGAATGGAAGGAAGTATGGCTCGCCTGTGAGTGCTTAATCCCAAGTAGTTTCGATTGATGGACATTTTATTGGTGTTCTGAACAGGTGTTCCGCCCTCCAGGCTCTTTATTTGTATCCTTAATGCTTCTGATGTACTGTTGGAATGTTTATTTCGGGATTTTATTGGTCACACCCAGAGAAAAAAAAAAGAAGAAAAAGAGAATGATAAAATATTCATACTTTCATATTCGAAATAAATGAAATTTCATGTGCGAGTGTTTTTATTTTCTAAATGTTGAAAGAGTGCCAATAAATCAATACAAATATTCATCTATTATTGCTTCTTCAATTACGCACAATTCCAAAACTGTATGCAAAAATGATGGCTGCATTTATTAACAAACATTCAGGGCATGCAAGTATCTGTGTATATTAATTACAGATTGGGCGCAAGGCCGTATAGCAGTCAGTCCGATAGATAGACAGGCAGGCAGTCCCCCCATGTATTGTGCATACATATATACTATATATCTTTACATGTCTGCCAATGCAATAATCAAACGAAATTGAGTGCAACCCAACCACATTCGTTGATCGGCCAATTGCTATTAGATATTCTTTTGGCCAAACTCCAATCGATATCGCTTCGATTTGCTATTGGGAAAAGTGGACTGTCGCTAGCCGGTTAATTACGTGACATGTTACGTTCGATACGATTCAATTCGATTCGAAAACAAGTTAAACACGTAATTAATTTCAGAAAATCAGGCAACAAACTCACCTCGAAATGTGCATTGAACTTTTGCTGTTTTGCTGTTTGCTGTTTGCTGTCAGTCGCTTGTCTCTTGTGTTGTCTCTGTTCAGTTTTCGTAGCCAATTCTAGTAGTTGCACTTGGATTGGATGCTGATAATGATAACCCCCAGAGATGAACCCCCTATTGTGGCGGATGGAATAAAAAACAGCTGATGCGGTATGTGTGCCAGTGTATGTGTGTGTTTGTTTGTGTAACTGTGTAATGTTTCAGTGGGCAAACAAAATGTCGAGTAAATAACGGACAAAGTGGAAGAGGAAATTCCAGAAATTTTGGGTGCTTTGCTGCATTGTTTGTTGTATTGACAACATCGCTGGGCTTATCGCCTCACTCTTGTCAGATCAAATATACCAACAATACAACATACAAATACATACATATGTATGTATATATTGTATAGACAGTGGAACCTCTCTTTAAAGAACATCCCTAGTTACGGACAACAGCTGGAAACTGAAGAGAATCTAAAGTAGCTGATAGACAGCATGTCAGGGAAAAGGATGGACTGCTTATATAAATGGGATATTTAATTTAAAGGAAGCTAATTTTGTACTATATTATTCACTGTAAGAATAAATGAAATGCGATAAATATATACAGAAATATATACTTAACAAATAACCCGACTAAAGCTGGCACATTAAATGGTTTGTTGATGGATTGTGTAGCTAAAGAAGTACAACTTACTCTTAAAACTATCATTTGATTGGAGTGCAAAGCAGGAAGTACGCTGATGAACTGCAACAGCTGGAACCGAGCCGAGCCGAGCCGAACAGACAGGAGTAGCTCTGTTATCGGCCTCCCTCCTCTAATGTGTGTCAATTGTGATAAGAGCGCCCCTATATAAAGTAGTTGCATGGGCAGGGCATCTCCCTCTCCCACCCGAGGTTGAATGCCATATGCATGCGTTGCATAAAGCAGCATATCACCCCCACTCCATGTTTGGGGCCGGGCCTGCCATGACTAATTAAGTAACCAAAAAAAAGAAGAGAGAACTCTGAGAGCAAAAACATCTCAAATTCTCAGCATTAAAACGTGCCGACAACTTTGTAAAGGCTGCAAAAAAAAAACAAAACAAAACAAAAATGCACATTGTGTAGTCATTGGGACATGCTTTAGGAGTTTCGATTTTCTTTTCTGGACATGGGCTTACGCTACTTTCTGGAGAAGCTTGTTATGGGATACAATGGGGGATCTCTGATTGTATAAATCAATCAAAACTGTATCAAAATAACGTAAACAACGTAGCCCCAATATTAAATGTCAAAACGACTCCCGAATTCTACTTTAAGTACCCTGTAAAGGGTATACCATGGTCACATACCATCGGTAAGGATTGATTCCCTCCAGGGAGTGCGCTGCCATATGCATTTTCGATTTTTGCGCTTTTTGGTCGTGTGAATCATGAGCATTAAGCATAAAACCGACATTTAGCTGATTGATCTTAATAAGAATTTCTGCAGCTCTGCGGGTTTTGCGGCCAGGAGGCAGGCCGGCGGAACGCTGCTCGCTAACGGATCGCTGGTACGGGTCAATAACATTTTTGGATGGGTCCGCGTCGGAGTCGGAGTTCCAGGCCCAAGCCCAAGTCCATTTGAGGGCGTTGCAGGGCTGCGCCTGCGCAACATAACAAACATTCAGTGTGTGTTTGTTCCCCCAGTGTATCTGTGTATTTCTGAAATATTTTAATAACTCAGAGTCAATGTCAGAGAAGGAGTTTCGGGGTGCAAAGTCTGGGAAGAAGTTGCGGGGTCCAAGTGTCCCTTGTCGGAAATTAAAATTTGCATTTTTTGAGTTATGTTTCTTAAACATTTTTCTTCTCCCTTTCTTTATATGATATCGTTCGGTTTTCCTCTTTATAAACATACAATATACATATATCTTTGTGCATGGTATATGCCATGTGATTTGCACTTAGCCTGGAGCGGAGCGGAGCGGATGTCTGTGCTCGTTTTTGGAATGAAATTTGTCGCCAAAACACGTAAAATTAGCAAAACAAATTTTCGACTGGATTGCGAGGCGGGCGGAGGGTGGCGGGTGCTGTCTGTTGTTCTGTTGGACTGTTGCATATTTCATATATTATTCTGATTCCCGTTTTAAATCGGCTTTATGTTGATTACTCTGTAGAACAGATTTATGCGCAAGTGCTCAATGTAGGAACATTTCATTTACTGATGGATAGGGGGGAAGTAAGTTCCCCTAAAACTGTGCCAACATGAACAAAAAACAAAAACAATATTAGCTGTAGTAGAATACAGAATTTTGCAACACAGAAAGAATTTTTATAAAGTTTTAGCCCAGCAATCAAATTTAGTTTAGTTTACTACGGGCTTAAGAGCTTTTTCTTCGCGATTTTTAAGTAAAAATAATTGAATCTATTTTGTATAAGATTGCATATTTTATAGGCTTAATTTAATTGCATTTCTTTTGTTAATCTTTTTTTTGGAAAAGAGTTTTTGCCGTCACTCCCGTAACATTTTTCAAATAGAGAATAACAATTGAGGATGGGTGCGAGTATTGCGTTGCTTCTACAAATTAACTTTGGTCTACCCAAATAAAATTCACACCCAACTGCATTTGATTTCAGTTCTTGGGGGGTCTGTAAATTGTTTAAATATCGCCATTGCGCAATATGTTTTACCCCCACCCTCCCTGCAGTCAACCACTGTCTATTCAGTCTACCAAATAAATTGAATTAAACTGCAAAAAATAACCGAAAACCAAAAAAGGCAAATAAAACTTGTTTCTGATGTCTGCAGCTCAAATTAAATGCAATTAAACTGGAATTGATTTAACAGCTGAAATTCGGGGAAACTCAGATTCGCTGCCGCTGGCTTAGAAGGAGAATTCTGTTCCGTCTACTTGGGCTCTACTGGCGCACTTGACAGCATCCTCTCCCGGATCTCTCAGGTCTCTCGTTCCATTTATCATGGCACAGCACAGTGTCTCGGGTTTCGTCTAGCTCATGTCTACGCTGAGAAAGAGTTTTTTTTTGATTGGGTCCGTCTCTGTCTGTCCTGTGCCCCAGATATCGCCCTTCCCTTGGGGGCTTGGGTCTGGGTCTGGTCTGTCTCGTCTGCCTTTTGTGTCTTTTGTGGTCCTTTTGTTGTATTTGGGTTAGACGTTAGTCAAGTTTTTGCCCTTTTTTTTTTGGTTGCTTGCCGAATTTGGGTTCTTTGTTTTGATTCGCATTTTTGATATCATTTTACGGCATGTGCGAAGGGGTTTATGTGGTAGGGGCTTTATTTTGTTCGTGATGTGTGTATCCATATATAGCGAAGAAACATGTAGTTAACTATTGCATGTTGAGTATGGGTGTGCAGATTAGTATAAGGAAATTTTGCACTAAGCAAAAATAAATTAAAATAAAAACAACTTTACTTTAAACATTAATTTTACCATATTGAAATTGGCATATTGGTTGGCCACATTTTTTTAGATATTATTTTCTGTTGTTCTCTTAGAGGGACTCTTTAGAGTGATATTTCCGTATGACAATAATTCTAAATTGTTATATATCTTCCGTTTTGCCCATTCTCTTGCCCCCACGCTCGTATTATTTTTCAAATTTGCAATTCCAAAACTTTATAATACGATATCCACATGGCATGGCATGGCGCTTGGAACATTGTCGCACATCTCTGTTGAAAATTTTGCTTAGAACTTTTTTGCACACACAGCCCATCCCAACCATCTCCCATCGGGGCTGGGGCTGGGGCTGGGGCTGAGGTCTGTATATTGCGGCTTGGCTGCCGAAAAAAAAAAAATAGCCAGACAGACATCTGTTTGTGAGCCAGTGTGCGTGTGTGTGTGTTTGTGTGAGAGTATCTGCTGTCTGGACTTTTATTGTACGGCTGACCTTGAATTTATGGAAATTGCATAAGTGGGAACAGAACAACTTTGTCATACTATTAAAAAATACAACAAAAAAAGTAAAATGAAAATATACAAAGGCAGAGTGATGATGACAGAGAAGATCAAGAAGCGAGAGACCTTGGCATTGTACCACAGAAGGACTTTGAATCTAATAAAATAAGAGGAATGAAGTCATGTGTGGCATGATAAATGTACTTTGTGTACAGCAGGATATTTAATGCTTGCAACGGAATATAAATCTTGCATATTTTCAGTGTTTCCGCAGTCCGCACCCTGAGAACCCACATACGTATTTGTATGTATACAAATATCGTTTCCTGGATCGTCAGGAATCTTTATGGCTATCCCCAAACCGAAAACTCACATATCGCAGCAAATCGCTTGCCGCCAAATGAATTACAACTTTGCGAAAACGATCCATGGGAGAGGGAAGAAGAAACCCCCATAATGATCAGACTCAGATAACCCTTATCAAGTGTGCGGCATCGCGGAGTGAAAAATACAAATTATGTTTTACAAACAAAAAGAAAACCAACGCGAGACGAACCTGCCGAATCCCGAATACCCTTTTGGATATTGGATTATTCGTTCCATAAAATACATACAATTTTCATGATTTGATGGTGAGGCTATAGTACGAGTGCTGGGAAATAGGATCACAAGGAGCCATCTTATCCACTGCCTGCCTGCTGAAACTTAACACCCTTCAAAGACAGGGCATGAAATGAATGAAAAATGCCCGAAAATCAGTTTGTTGTTTTCACTGTGTGGATGTTTGCATTGTGCACCTTCGGCCACCAGCAGCGTATTGGGCGTGGCACGCCTAAATCCGGTACAACCCACAATACACACAGATACATATGTGCATTTTGAGCTCTGGGCTGCTCTGGATGCAAATTTTACAGTCTCTGATCAAATTGCAGTCATTCCCCGATACGTGAATGTGTGTGGATAAAATGTGGAATTTTTATTGATTTACAAATTACGGAAATTAGTTTAAAGGGATATATGGAGAAGAGCACTTAATTTGTTATACTTTCCACATAATTTTGATTGAATGCGGGACATCAGGTGGAAGGCACTCAGAGGATTGAGAGCCCTGGTTCCAACAAAGTTAAAGGAATGACTGAACGGGTTACATAATGGTCGCTTTCAATGCCCAGAATTCAATAACAAAATCCACAGTCTTTGTCGAGGTGGACAGGTGTACAGTGTCTGTCTTTCTCAAGATTTTAATCACGGCCATCAGGCAACCGTTTGAATACTATTCACACAACATCGGACAGACAACATCTGTTCAGGATCGATCATATTGCCCAGATTTGCGTAGCAATCACATTGAAATCTTTCATAGTTCGTTGTAAATTTGTAATGTTGGTATTTTTTGGCTCCTTCAGACAGATATATGTATGTAGTAAAACACACGTAGAACAGCTCGGATACAAAATTTTATGCTAGATATTTATTTGTAACAAATCCGAATTAATTGTGCGTTTCCAAATTTCCAATTAAAACATTTTGAGACAATGGCCAAGACGAAGAACGGCCCGTCCACCATTAAGAAGCGACTGGAGCAGCAGGTGGCTCTCCTACGGCGGGAACTGGCAACATCGAGGGTGGATCAGAATGACCTTTGCCGAAAGTATGCGACAACGGTGCGACAGCAGGCAGGCAGCGTAAACGTCGAGGAATCCCTGATGCTGAAGGAGCAGATAAAGATGTTGGAGAAGCTAAACCACGAACAGAGACAGTACATATCCTATCTGGAGGAGCATATAAAAATGATGCCTGCAGAGTACGAGAGCAGGATGATTGCCCTGAAGAAGAGCGCCAAGCTCGCGGAAATGGAACTGAACAAGGTGTACCAGGGAATACACAGCATTAAGGACCAGGTCAAGGAGGTGGACAAACTCAGGAATTGTCTGAACGTTCTCAAGGCCAGACTGAAGCGTCGCGATTTCATCATTGCCCAATACGAGGCCAAGAACTCGAACAGAATCAACATTGTCGATGATCAGCAGGGGCAGAACATGTCTCAGGTTCGTCATAAGCAGGGCCACACCACCACCCACAAAAAGCTAATTGTGCTGCCAAGCAAACGGCAGAATACGCCCGAACCAACGGATGTGCCAGCAGAGTCGGAAACAGAACCCCAGGGAACTCTTTTGATCGATAAGTACAAACGGTTGCAGGACCTCAGGCCTCCGCCAAAGAAGCAGCTAAGGTCCGTTGATTTCAGCTGCCTGGCAGCGGCGCTCAGAATAAAGGGCAACCAGGATCAAACTGATGGCCAGTGAATTGGGGTCTACGAATTCCTCTGATTTCAGATGCCAGTTGCTGCTCGATTATAGCGTTTCCCCTTCCAAGAACAAGTCATCGAAATTGCGTTGTAATTAAATCAGTTTATATAACCCCCCTCTCCCGGCAGGGTATCATATTGTCTGACTTTGGTATACCATTCATGGCGGAACCGGGGCGGAACTATCGTCAGCACTTCGACTGGCCGAGTTCTGGGAATTTTTCAGCATTTCAAGTTCATTGACAAGCAGAGCAGCCTCGAGCCCGAGCAATGCATTCAGCAGTTGAGAAGTCTGGGAGACGAACCTTATACGGTTATTGCACTATCCAAAAATCCACAAAAGCCACTCAAACAGGTTGGGTAATCCGTCTGCAAAAATAATAATATGATATAGGGTCTCGCATAACGGCGCTTCGATTTTGGTTACTTAGATCCGAAACTCTTTTTCTGCTGCGCCAGACATAAGCCCAACCAAAAAGGTTTTCCTTATGCAATGCCTTGGGCTCGGGCTCGGGCCTGGCCCGTAAGCAGGTCACGTTTTCCTTCCATTCTTAGAACTGCATTGGGTCCGGCTATCCTAATGCAAAATTTGTGCATAAAAGCACGTCCCATAAATCGCATAAATGCCACGAATGACAGACACTCTTCTTGCCTCAGATTCCCTCGTAGATGTGTGGTGTCTGAGGGGCTCTCTATTGAATTCTAATGCCGATTGCTGCACCAGGAAGTGCGTGCACACAACATGGGACGACAATCAATCGCTGGTCAATTGAAGCCATTTGTGGCCAGCAATTGGGATTGATTGGCCGCCCGGTTGGATGTAAGAATTGGGCCAAAAGTTCACCAGAATCTAGCTAATTAAAGGTACACACATTTCAGTGATTTGCTCACTTCAAGCGTGAAATGCTTATCGTTAGAAAAAGAATCAGAATCAAAATTGCCGTGAATCAGCCCGCCTCCACCTAATGATGAAATTGACAATTTGTCGAGTGGTGCTTACGGGTGCTTTTTCGGTGGGGAGTGGTTTTTAGCATATCCCATAGAAATTTCGGGTAGGGTGCTCAAACCAGTCCGGTTGGCCTTCAGATACAATTATTATGCATTATATCGGCCCAGAAGGATGACCCTGAGAGAGCACGCATGAACATGTAGTGTACACATTTCGTTACACAAATACGGGCATGGGGGTGTGCCACCCATTCTTGAACTGCAAACAGAATCTCCGCTTGAGACAATTATTATTAATATACTTAGCTACAATGCGTACATTACATTATTATATAAATTAAACACTACATCGCGGCAGCCAGCAGAACATCTAGGGTAGAATAGAGTCCCATCTCCGTCGAGTCATGTGCCAGAAAAGCTGCGGAAATTGTTCTTCAGCAGCAGCACAACAAAGAAAATGCCCACAGCGATGGTAAACAACTGCACGTTGATGACTTTTGAGTCGACAATGGCCTGTAGCATGTTGTAGATGCTTTCCTTGCGTACTTCGTCCCCACAGCAGTCCATAAAGTGACTAATATTCAGTAAATCTAAATGTTTAAAACTATTGATCTGCTCCACACTTTTTTTTGTTTGCGAACAGCTGACAGTGCTGGAAAGCGAGCACAGGCAGCTAGATGATTAACCCACTAAGGGCCGACACGACGATTTCGAAGTGAATGAAAAATAAACAAAATTGTTATCCCTGAGATATAATATATAATTATGTTTACTTAAACACAGAAGTAGCACCTTCCACCTGGTCTGAGGTAAAATTAATGTTTCCTGTGTTTTTAAATACCCTCCGGCACTTAAGGGGTTAATTTGACAACCTACTGCTGCTGTTATAAATATAAATTCTTTTTGTTTATATTATTCGATATACTATGCATCTGATGCACAATGCCATCTGAGGGGTCATCCCAATGACCTTTATCAATTTGAAACCGTATAGAAATACGTGCTTAGCAGGTATGCGCAAACAAAACACACACAACTCTCTTGAACTGTGGGTTTAGTTTTATTAATTAGTTTAACATAACTATTTGCTAGTGTGTAGAGACGAACAATCAAATCCCTGCTTATTGGTCGTTCTCGTAGTCAGCGGGGTTCTTGCGTAGCAGAGCGGTGTGCTTGCGCTCGGTCAGATCGTAGATCAGGTATCCAATGATGAAAGCTGCAATCCAACAAGAATTTAGAGGGGTGTCTATAGGAATATGTGGTTTCTACTTACGTGGAGCCACAATGAAGACATTGGAGCGGAAGCGACGGAACATGTTGGGCACTCCATTGCTGATGGCACCCGCAAAGGCGCGCTGCTCGAAGGGCGACAGCTTGTAGGTGATGATGCCGTGCACCTTGGCAAGATTGCCGAAGTGGGCTCCGTTCAAAATCGACGACAGACGCATATTTCAAGCTGGGGGAGACGGGACAAAGAAGGGAGACTACATTAGCAACAGCACAACAAATTAACCAGTATCTGGATGAAGACACATATGGTTATTATAAACATTATGCACGAGCACTATTGGCCTCCTCTATTGGTCCCGGAGGTTATGTAATTTTTGCACTTCGCTGGCGACCCAGCCTGTGGCCAAGAACGTCTGACCGCAGGGCTCGATCGCTGCACTTTTGGCACCCAGATGAGTATGCATATTTTTAGCGCCCAGCACCTGTCATTTCGGGAAATTATGATGCCAAATATTACCTTGATTTGAATTTTCACGAAGACGTCGTCGCAGCAGCAGAGAAGGTGTCAAACCAAAACCATCGATATTTTGCTGCTACCCTCTACTATCGATGGTTTTGAGACTATCATGATAGTATCGAGCTACAGTCGTTGCGCTTTTGATATGTTACGAAGACGCATTTGTAAACAAATCGACAATTGGCATCTAATTTCTTCAATGGACAAGTTCCTAAAAGGTTTCGATGGTTTTTAAAATTTATTTGAGCACGATACCATTACGATAGTATCGATTGTATTTTTCAAAACATTCAAAGTTGATATTTCTCGATTTTGATATTCGGTTGAATATTACTAGCTAGCTGGGACTCTCAGCCCTACCCAAATAATTTTATCTGATAGATACATAAATTTTCTACAAGATTGGCAAGCTTTCAGAAGTCCTTTTTATTGGATTATTTACATATTAAGGTTCAAAGAAAAACAACATAAAACGAATGTGACGTCGTTTTGTGGCGTTGCCAGACTCGTGCAATTCGTAGTTGGTGCGGGCTGCCATACCATGATATTTTGTGATATGAAATTCGTCAATTTTGATATTCAGTTTAATATTACTAGATAGTTGGCCCTTTCAGCCCTAATAAATAATAATAAAAATAATTTTATCAGATTCCTCAATGAATTTTGTTCAGGATTGGCTAGTTTTCAGAAATATTTTTTATTGGATTGTTTACATAAAAAGGTTCAAGCAAAAACGGCCAAAGCATAAAACGTAAATGTTGACTAAATGTGACGTCAGTGTTGCTGGTCAACCAAGTTTCTTCTATGCATCTGTACTTTTGTATACCTTATTTCCTTTAATTGATGTTAAATGTTTTGTTCCAAGCTCCATTGAAACATTATTTATGATTTTATCCTAGATTGACATGTATTTTACCTATTAATGCATATGTTTTGTGTTTTACATATACATTTATCCCAGTTCTGTTACCTATTATTGGTACTCGTGATCTGAAAAATATCGTTAATATCTTTAAAACAGAGACTGACTAGTTTCTGCATTAATTGGAACCTGAAATTACAAACAATATCTCAAGTCCATAATATCCAGATCAATAAAAGCTCGAACATTTGAGTAGCAATTGCTGGACTATAGCGATTCGTTGGAACCGAAAAATCTCAAGTAAAACAAGAATTAAAAAATAGGTATATTATAGTATATATATTTATGATCAACATTTGTACAACTATGAGATGATGCATCTTACAACTTAATTACTATAATTATTTGCTTAAAAAAGAGCAACACAAACAGACAAGATTTCACATTTTATATGGCAACATTGCGTTGTATAGTATGTACAATAAAAATTTTCATTCACTGAATATCTCTCTCTTTTATAATACATAGACAAAGGTCCAATAGAGCGCATTGAAGGCCAGAAACATCACTGGAAAGAGGAAACGCGATCGCCGATCTATCCACATGGCAATCTCCTGCGGTGTCATGGTTGTAAATGTGGGCGGCGTCTCCTTCTTTTCCGTGTCGATGTCAATGATGTGCTCGTTGCTCATCCGCTCACTGGAGATGGACACGTTATCGGCACATTCGGTCTTGATGATGGGCAGATTCGGCTGTAAGGATAAGGAGTGCAAGGCTTAGCAGATAATCTTCAATTGATTTTTTGATTTTTTGCACTCACATGAACTGTTAGATAATTGTTGTAGCCATGATTTACATTGCCATTGCCGTTGCGCACGCTCTCTGTGCTGGAAACGATGTTGTCCAGGCTCGAGCATGATCTGGCTCTGGAATCGTTGCTGAGGCTGCCGCCAATCTGACGACGCGATGGCCTTGGCGTGAGTGTGGATTTGATGATGTACTTGCTGTTGACCTTCTTCAGCTCAATGTTCTCCTTGCGACGCCATATGGTATTGACAAAGGCGAACTCCACCAGACTGCCAAAGATGAAGAAGGTGCAGCCCAGGAACCACACCTCCGACACTTTGATGTAGCTTACTTTTGGCAGGTTCTTACTCTGTGATGACGACAATGTAATGAACGACAACATGGTGCTGGTTCCTGTACACAAATGATAAATTTATAAAAAGTATTCCCCTATTCGTTGAGTGTGGACCTACCCAACATAATGCGTGGAGGGGAGGCATCTGCCTGCAGCCAAAAGGACACCCACGATATGGCCACAATCATCATGGAGGGCAGATAGTAATCCAGCAAATAGAAACCAATTTCACGCCTCAAATTCACAGTGAAACTGAGCGAACTGTAGTCACCCACTAAAGCAGACGAAGAACTCAGTAAAATATCTACAAAAAAAGTCATAATAAATGGCACTTACGAAATGATCCGTGACGCAGATTGATTTCATCCGAGTGCACAATCGTTGTATTGTGCCAGTAATTGTCCATGTTGTATTCTGTAAGCCGCATTTCCGGATCAAAAGAGATGGGCGAACGCTCCTCCCATTCCAGCACCAGGTCCGAGGTATTGTACATCCCTGAAAGATCAGGAAATCGCCATAGATATCTCCATGGTTGTATGATAAATGGTTTTTACTTACAGCTTTCTATAACAGTGGAGCAGAGCTGCTGGTCAAATGGAAACTTCTTGAAGTTCATAAAGCAATACAGTGAGGCCTGCATGCGGGTGGATATGATGACATTGCCCTCTGGCGACAACGAGGTCAGCACATCCTTCTCGTCCGTGCCCAGAATGCTGGACTCGCGTTCATTGGCAAAGAAGATGTGCGGCAGCCAGAGGCGTTCGCTCAGATGTTTCTGCCCCAAAATGTCACCGCGCTGGAAGGTCTGGTAGGCCAGTCGCTTGTCCTGGAACCGCAACTGCAGCAGGGCGTGCATCTTGAACTGCAGCAGATCCGAGTTTAGGTTCTGCAGGAAGTATACATAGATGCGTGTCTTCACCACAATGGGCAGCCGTTTCCCATCGGTGTCGTATTCTGGTGGTTGGAAAACTTTCTTTAGAATTTATCCCCTTACATTGGGTGCATGCCAGTTCCTTACCAATGGGTCTCTCAAGACGATCGTAGCGGCATACATGGGTTAGGGTCTGTATAAGTTGGGAATGCTGCATGTACGAGGCATTGGCCAAGGAGGGACAGTCCTCCTGCTCGTCCACTGAGGCCCTGCAAAAATATGGTCGAAAGGTTAGAAAACGAACGGAGAGCAAATCTTCAGGTGCCTGGATTGGATGACACATAATCCAGGTATTATAACTCATTTTTAAATGCATACTAATACTACCCCTTGGACAAAGGCAAACGAACTATAAAAATATACTTTAACGATCATAAAAAATTAAATTATTTCGAACAACTCTATTTGAAAGTGACACAATTTATGGGCAAGTGCCGCACATTTTATGATCCCATTTAAAATACTTTTTACTTTAGAAAGTTTTGCCTGGATCACACCTGAGTTGAGCACACAAGCTCCCCGGCTCCAGCAGCAGCAGCTGTGCAAGCTCATTTGGCGCTACCTTAAATCATCAATTGCAATATCGTAATAATTCAAATAAATATTTGTCTCCTCTGCTCGGCAGCTTGCGGTTTTAATTTATTATTATGTATGTAGTTTTCCGCTATTTGCTATTTGTTTGCTTGCGCAACCACAAAGAGTATTCGATTCAATTAATCGATGTGACCTGCTCCCACAACAGGAAACTAATTATAGCCCATATTGATATAGCACCCAGATCTTGAACTTATCCGATAATAAAGCTACGCTACGACCTTTTGAACATTAAAGACAAAAGCCGCCCTGCCCTGCTCTGCCCTGTAAATATTTCTTGGTCGATTTTTGCTTTTCGGTTTCTTATTGCGCATTCGGAGAGTATGTTAATTAAATTCTAATCTTAATTCCTCTGGGGATTTATTTGGGGCAATGATTTATCAATGGCCCTGAAGTTTTTGCGTAAAACCAGAGAACTTTGCTAGGATTTCAAACTGTATACCAATAGATTTGCATCGAGATAAATACCGAAAATTAATTTAAATAAACATTTTTGTTTATTGAGGAATTTCTATCTGAGTGTGTGAGTATTCCCTTAGAGGTTTCTGGAAAATTCCAAAAGATTGCAATAATAAAAATCTCAAAACGAAATTTCACAGCTATTTTTTTATATCAGGAAATGTTTATAAACAAAAACGTTACCAAACTCTATTATGTGTAACCCTCTTGTTATCACCTCACCATTTCTTATCAGTTTTCTCGGTAACATCTTCAGATTTCATTTCCATTTCCATTATCAGAACATAAATTCTTGAAGTTATTTTATCAATGGAATCTTTATGTAGATGTGGATCACCACTTTCAAAATGAATGCTATGGTTTTTCCCGTCTACGCTCAGTCTCCTGCCCAATTTGTCATCTTCTTCTGCTTGTTTTGAGTCAGAGACAAGTTCCATAAATTGTTGTCAATTTACTGAGAAGGCAGCTCCAACTCTTGTTAAAATTTTGGTTTTATCAGACAGACACCCCCACCCATACACCCATGCATACATAGCCATTTGAATGTTTTATCTGACATTTGTAGAGCTAAATATATAGCTAAATATAGCTAAATGTTGTGCTTTCTAATTTGTCTGGAACATCATCAGAAAGGAAATAAAAGAAAATGCAAGAACTTACCCAATGGAGGCTTGAAAGAGGATGATGATTGAGCTGAAGACCAATGTGCTCCACATAACATTTCTGGAGTTGTTCATGTTGATTTTGGTTTTCGTTTTAACTTTGGGTTGGGCGGTAAGGCGGTTAAGCGGTTAGGCTACTCTTTGGGCTGGCCGAATGGGTATTGATTCGATGTCAAATGCTCATGTTTCACACGACGACCTGCTCGCGCATATTCACATTCACTTTGCACACATTCACTTTGAAATGAATGCAAATTCAATTCAATTCTTAATGTTCTATGTAAACACTTGTCTCGTAGTGTAGTTCTTAATGTTCTCTCGAGGACGATTGCCAGTTGCCAGTCTGTCTGGTTGGTGTCTGTTTCTCCAGCTCCAGTCGCTGGCGTTTTGAACTCGCGCCGCGTTTGCGCCCCACAGAAATACCTGGGAGAAGCTGCTGCTTGGCTTGGCTCGGCTCGGATCTGCTCAGGTGCGCTGCTGTCGACGCCGACGCCTCAATGAGCACTGACGGGGGAGGCGAAGCTCGTGCGGTTCGTGTAGCTCTCAGCTTGTCTGTTGTTTTTTTTTGTTTTTTTTTTTTTTTTTTTTGGGGGGAGGCCTTCTGATAAGACCAGTTAATGTTTTGTGTTAGGTTTCTATTGGGATGGTAGCCCCTCCCACCCGTAACAAACAGCAGTAAACAGTGCAGCAGCAGCAGCAGCAGCAGAAGATTCGGAGACAGAGGTTCGATACGTTCAACAGCTCAAAGGCAACAGCGCAGGGTCGCCTGGGGATCGGCTCACTTATAAGCAGCGCCACTCTGGTAGATCTGATCTACACACATCTATTGGGTATACGAATGGGAATGCGTTGGCCATATCGGAAGCAATGCAGCGAAATACAAACCGGTATGAGAGTCGTCTTGGAAAATGCACAGAAACAGAATAGATAAACAGAATAAACGTAACATTTCAGAAGGCACTGAAAATGCAGTCTAGATGCAGTCGCATTTCTTGTTTTGCTGATTAGTCAGGGGAGCACACAAGTAGCTCCAACTAATTACGACTGCGATTAGCCAGGGGGAGTGGAGTGTGGCTGTTTACACAAGTGTCTCCCGCCCACGCGTTCAATTGGCTTGTAATGTTTTCCCCCACAGAGCCCGTTCTCATCAAGATCTCTCTCTCTCTCCTATCTCCCCACCCCTCTGTGTAGCATTATCTTTGCATCTTCAGATAATTTGTAGTAGTTATATAAGTGCTGTGCCATAAATCGGTTCAACAAACTTGTCATTGCGCTCAAGCAAAACTGATTTTACCTTAACAGAAACTATTTAATTCTTATCAGCTTACGCGTACAATGGCGATCCTCTTGGTTGAATAAACCCCTGTCCGCCAGCCAGCGAACGGTCCAAGGGATTATGCTGGCCTGGCCCCACAATCCCCAACAAAACTAAAGGCATCAACAATAATAATGAGGCTTGGCAAAAGGCGAAGCTAAAGCAGCGACGTGACACAGAATTCCGAGTGTGACAATAATTGAATATATTGAATATATGACAAATGGCATGGCCAATTGCGAATGAGTTAATAACGTTTTGTCAAACACATTTACTATAGTCGCCACGGTACTACGAGTACGCATAGACAGTAGTCTGAGACCTGAGTGGATGGATATGAATGCGAAAAATGGTAGCAAAATTGACTTGTAAAGTTTTTAAAGTACGTGTGGAGAAACTGAGCTACTGAGCTTAGATAGCTAGTTAGTTGTCGGATTGAAGAAGTCGATTCCAAGGCGGTGACTAAATTCAAGGGCAGGCGTGCAAATTGCACGGGCCCTAATGCGAGACTTCGACTAAAACATGAGAGAGAGAGCGATCTAGAGCTTTGTAGATGACAATGTTAAACAGTGGGCAGTGCATGACTTCCCTTCTTTTATTCCTTTCTTGCAGAGATCTTAGATCCTCAGTAATAAGTATTTATTTAATGATTCCACTCCCCCAGGCCAACTCCTTGCTGGCATGTAAACATTTTTGGTCCGAGCTGTGGAGAAGACACATTTGCCTACGTCAATTCATCGCCAGAGCATGTTCTCTCAATTTCTCACCCTCTTATCGGGTGTTATTTTAGGAACTTTAATTAAATGAAATGCTCGTAGCGTAGCTGAGCAAATTTGATCTGCGCATATTTAACAAGAAAGCTTATTTAATTATTGTTCGCATTGCCAGTGCAAACAGGAGGCCATTTCTATTCAAGAGCCACTGGCAGGGGCAGTGTCACAGCTAATTTGGCAAGTGGAAAGACAGAACTTGTGTTGGCCTGGCCTGTGCTTATCGCACGGTGCTGTGCTGTGCGGTGCGGTGCTGCTTCCTGACGCTTCTAGGGTATCTTCTGGGACAGGGACAGGGACTGGGACTGTTTACCGGAGTCATTGCCATGGCATGATCTTGTGTGGGGGAGGTGTTGCTTGCTTGGTGTGTGTGTACCTTTTAGAGGTTAAACATTTATTTGCTCCGATTTTTATGGGTCGCTGGCAATGTGATTTTCCCCATATTTGTCCACAAATATTGGCTACTACCACCTGTGCGGCAATGAAGTAAGTCCTGGGTGGCACGTGATCTGTTTCGATGATATTTGAGAGGCTGCTTTCACCGCTGCTCCCTGCCTGGGAGGAGATCTACCGATCGGGCATTGTCTCTGCGATGCCAGGTGGTGAGTCACCTGCTAGAGAGAGGGAAATGGACAGGTTGAGGGGCACGGTACCCGTACGAGTAGTATCTTTATCTCAAGACAACATTAGCTGGCAGGCAGTAGACAGTTGCTTGTGTTTGGATCGCTAAAGCCAATAAACAAGCAAAAAGTTTCATTAATTAAAACACAAAAAAGACAAAATGGGTATGCTATGTAAATAGACGGCAGCAGCAGCAACACCCAACGCAACCAACGGGCGACAAGGGCAATGCCAACGGCGATTGGTAAATATCATAAATAGAATTGCAAATAATCGAAATTAAAAGTATTCGAGTATAGTAATACCGGAGAGATAATCAGGACTGGGCACGGGCACTTGAGTGGTCTGCCTAAATTTAAACAATGACAGGTTGAGCGAGTGCTGGGATGGCCAGTCAGTCATTCGGTTGGGATCTATCTACCTCTTGGGATTTTCGGCTTACCCAGGCAGGTACAAATGTACATACATATCTCGTTTTTGGGTAGCCCAATTGGAGCACTAAATTGTTATCAGCTAGTTGTGGCGTACGCCTTGCCTTCAATGACGTCTTTTGGGTTTAGTGCAGCGCGTCCTAGAGCCGTGTTTAATATTTGCCTTCGCCACTGTGGGGCGTATGCGTAATGTGTTGTCAGAGCGGAAGCTGCTGTAAAATGTCAACCAAACGGAGCTGAAGCTGACTCACATGCGTGACATGACGCGGCACGCCACTCCGAGACTTTTCTTTTATCAGAGCCTTATCAAGAGTCTGCTTTCTGCTCGGGCTATACAAGAGTAATTGACAATCTTGAACATCGCCTTGTTTACAGCAATAATTTCATGTTATCAACTGCATCTGGAGGCAGCCTCGAGGCAGTTTTCGTTTCCGTTGTTGCCACATTTCATCCGAGGCGTGGGAAGCTTGGGAAACCTATCCCAAAAGTTGACACTTTGCATTCACGTGCCAACGAAAATGCCCATCAGCGTAACAGGGTATCCAAGTAAGTATCAAATGCAAGCTAAAACAGAACTTTGGGCTAGCACTGGCGATTGGGGAGTGGGCCAATAAATCATGGGGACGACGTGTTTTTTCGTCTATTTGGCGAGGCGTCCTACGTAGACAGCAAGATCCAAATAAATTATCTAAGAGAACTCACAAAGTAAATATCAGTCACATCAGTCCAAACAAAAGGGGGTCTGTCTAACCTTCTGGTTTTTTAAATAATTCGAGTAGACTGTAGATCTGTTGTACATTTCACGGCGATCTTCACGCTATCATAATATAATCATTTTTATTACTAAACTGGAAGAGGGGACAAACCTCTTCAATCGCTCAATCGGTTTAAGTATTCACTTTGCTTGGGTTCTGTGTGGGGCAGGCAGGGAAGAGAAACTATACGCTTAATTTGCCGTAGGCTAACTATAACTAACACAAAAACAGCCTCGCATTTGGGACCACATAGGCAAGGGGCCGGCCTACTGCTTTGTTGGATTGACCGCGTCCTGGCTGCCGGTGATCGCCGGCGACTTGGCAAAATCCTCGAATGTGTCCTTGACCTTCTTGAGGCCGCGACCCGCATAGCAGGGCAGCATATGGACAAAGCGAATGGAGCCCTTTACGCCCTCGTTGTAGTAGTGTTTGGCCAGGAAGCGCATCTCGCCGGTGTTCGGCAGCTGCGGCACATCGAAGGGCAGCTGTTTTTTCGCCTTCTGCACGTACGGACACAGCTCGGACTTGACGTTGTTGTACAGCTTCTCCGTCTGCTCAGAGTCGTCCCAGATGCCCACTTTGTTGGTGTAGTAAACAGCACCGGCCAGCAGGCCACCGCGCACCAGTAACCTGCGAAAAGAGCATTCATTCATTTCACACTTGTGGCTTACGTAATTATCAAAAGAATAACCATTGTTGCAACTTACCCAATCACCATTTTTGGCTTGTTTGCTTGTCGGAAGAGTGTGTGTAGGGTCAAGTACCGGTTAATATATAAACCAATATTTTGGTGTTAGTTTTCGTTTTCGTTTTTGGAATTTTTCAGATTTACGGATAAATATATATATAGCTAGCTAGAGATGACAATAACAAAATCAGGGTTGATAATGATAGCCAGGGCAATCCGGCGAGACATAACACACTTAACACCCTTCTATTTAAAAAGTTGAGCGCCCTTTGTTAAACCGCGCAAAATAATACTGTTTGTAAAGGCCCCTTGTAGCTCCACCCGCATTACTTAGAAAACAAAAACGACCACCAACATCTTTCACCTGTAATGCGTAAAACATGTTAAGGTTACATAAATTTCGTGGAAATATTAAATATTGAATCGACAATGGGATAACGCTCCGCAGTGTGACCGTATGCACTACATAATTTATCCTACGTAACTAGAGATGGGCGATATTCATCGCCATGTAAATCTGGTCGCACTTTAAGTTTCTCCTAGAGATGACTATCGATAGATGTACTATCGATACATTGCAAGTCGAAAACCGCCTAGTGGCGCCATTTCGATTGTTTCGCAGCAGTTAGCTATTGTATGTGTGTGTATATTTTGAAAAAACTGTTATCAAATTGTGGGAATTCAAAAAACCTCGAAAGAAGTTTATGTGGGACGAATATCATTCATCTGACCACTAGTCTGCAAAAGTAAGATACTCCATCTGGCTTTATGTGTGTGTATAAATAATTATTATTTATATAAAGCAGAATATTTTCTAAGGTTTTCAGCTCGTTGAGTGTTTTAAAAATTACATTTGCACATTTATAAAATTATACAGTAGATTTAATGATTATTTTTACTAGAATTATATTCTTATTATTATTTTAAATTTTAAATGTGGAATAGTTAGAACTCTTGGTCTTTCCTTACTCTTGGTTTTCAGATGGGATGACAGACCCAAAGTACTGTACCCCCAAAATTGACTATAGCAACGCATCATCATCTACATCTAACAATAGTTTATGTACTATGCTAAAAATTTCTGACAGGCTGTCACCGTTGAGTCCTTGGGATAATCCGATGATTAACTTCATCACATTTAAAGGAAATGTAAACATTACGATCCAATCGATTTGGCTGTCGTTTTTTCTTTGACTAATCACCAAAATGTTCGGTCCAGTCCTAGTTAACGGCTTAGCCTGTGAGGCTTCTGCTATAGGTATAGTATAGCCTGCCCCTTGTTCCCAACGAAATCTCATTTATTTAACTAGTGCCAGAAAACAACAAAAACAGAACTGAAGATACACATATGGAGAAAGAAACAAAGCCACCAGCATTGGTACCCCTATTTCGCCAGTTCCAACATTTCCTTTGTCACAATTATGCGACAGTCGCGCTGCAGTTAAGAGGATTATTGCCAGCCGAACAAAGAATGGCCCAGAGTTTGTGCCAATTTATTGAAAAATTCCAATTTCAAATCGAGTGAGAATTTTAACGGGCTTCCGTTTTTGTCCTCTTTTTTTGTTTTTTTTTTGGGTCTTTTATGGTAGTTTTTCACCCATTTTTTGTGCCGCCTGTCAGAATGAGGAGGAAGCTGCCGTTGCCGCTTCAGGTCGGGTCGGGCGACATTGACCCACGTGTCAGGCGATGCGTCGCGAGGTCGCACCCGGGGTTGGCAACGCTTATTAATAGGTTCAGTTCAGCTAATGTGTCGCAACCCCTTCCTCGGGAACAACCCCTACCCCTGCCACTGCTACCGTGTGCACCCGAATAAAAAAATTAAATTTTCCTCATATATTTTTTTTTTGGGCTAAAAAGTTGGCACACATTTTTATGCGAAAAAAAAGGAAAGGAGAAAATGTAATTTATTAATTTCGCATGGACGTGTGACAGTTGGTTGCATCGATCCGGATCCCAATGCTGATCCTTTATTTACACAATGAGCGGTGACCCTTTTTACCCCCTGCCCCTGCGACCCAACGAGATTTTTATGCGAAAAATGTCAAGAAATTTTTTGTTATTTTTTTTGGGATTTTTGTTTTTTGCGTTGGAAAATTCGCATTATCTGTAGAAAATTGCAACTTTACAATGGGCAAGGGTTCACAGCCCGCACCACTTACCCCTTAGCCTATGGCCCGTAACCCCTTTCTCTCTGGGCAGGGGCATCGGGGCATCCCCCTAATGGCTTATATCGTATCATGCATGGATTTCACTTTACGTTCGCTTGATTTGCGCGCTCAAAAGTAATTTGGTGACCTGACCCCTTTCCGTTTTTGGGGTAAAATTTTACACATTTTCAATGAGAAAAATTGTGATCGGAAAACTGTCCAATCTGCCATGTGCCATGTGCATTATGCGATGGCCCATTGATTGCAGCGGACAACCCTTTCGGAAGGGGTTTCTTTCCTTCCACACACTACGCAGAATTGTAAAACTCTAATGAACTTTATTTCGATTCCTTTAACATCTTTTGGGCGGTAGGGGGGCACCCAGGCAACGGGCACACACATGCTTCACACGCGTCTGCATTTCACAGTGGAGAAAAGCAGCTGCCACCATTCGTGGCACTGGATAGGGTCTCGCTGGCTCTCATACTCTCTACGAACGGTTTTTAAAACACAAACCACCCGTGCCACACACAAGCACACATGAGTCTTATATCTTATAGTTTTTTATGAATCTTGTTTACTTATTCGATTTTGATATTATTGGCGCACGCGTCTGTGTTTGCCCAAGGCTTAGGGGCCGGTCCCGGTCCCGGGCCCTGTCCCTATCCGTGTTATTTTTTTCCCCCCGGGTTTCTGGGGTGTTAAAGATAAGAAACGTTTATTGGGTTTCGGGTGGTGTTGGGTTTTTTTGTGTAAAAAGTGACTCTTTTGTGGTTCAATTGAATTGGCTGTGCGTGTGAGTGAGTGAGTGTTGAATATGGGTTTTAAATCAAGACACGCGCCGCCTGGAAATTTCTAAAATGTTGAGGGTCCACTCTTGGACATGTTCCATGTGTGAGGCAGAGAATGGGTAGAAAACTTAAAATCCCGCCTAATGGGATAGCCGAAGGTCTGCCCTTTCAAGTTCTCCATAGAAAGAGTTAGGGATGCTTAAGAGGACAGCTTGAAATAGATTTAAATGAAATATTAGCCATGTCTATGTTTTGATGATCTACTCGTATGATTATTAATATATGTATGGCCGTTCGATGCTGACCACTTTCTACGCTGGCAAGTGGTGCTGCCGATGATAGACATTCTGGTCTGGTGCTTGAGGGGATACCAATCCATCCTTGTTGCCCGTTCTGTAATGCCCTTGTTGGGTGTATTACATAGGAACTTGCAGCATATCTTATGCTCCGAAGACCACACACAGATACATTCGCGCTCTTAGCCATAAGCAGCTTACGCACTCAGTACTTCTGTGCGTGTGTGCGTGTGTGTGGCTGGGCTACGTTTGTATTTGTGGTTGTGAGCGTGCGATAGTGCAGGAAATTTATTGGCGCTTTGGGGGCGAGAATAAGATTGGGGGCCCCTCAGAATGGAGTGGAATGGCTGCAGAGTGGTGGGGGCTTGCCTTTGGACAAGGCTTTTATAATTTTATGCCATTTCTTTCAATATTTATTCTGCTATTATGTTTTTGTAATGAGTTCAAGTTGTTGCCGACATCGAATCGAAGCCCAGAAGCAACAACAACCAGACATCCAGACATCCAACGAGGACGAATATTGTTAGAGGATGACGTTGAAAGTGGAAAAATGTGTACGTGTAACTATAGATTGTTGTCTCTGTTGTGTGTGTGGGTGTGTGTGTATTGCCATGGAAAACTCGGGCTGGCACATAAATTAATTAATTTTGTTTTTCTCTTTTTGTTTTTGTTTTTGTTTGTTTGCTCTGAGGGAGTGAAGGGGCAGAGGAGCAGGCTCGTTTTTCTATCGAAATTTTAGTTAATGGGTAGTCCATATCATTGAACTACTTACGCCATCTCTCTCTCTCTCTCCCCATTCTATTCTCCTTCTATTTTTCCCTCCAACTTTTTGTGTATCAATTTCCCCTTCTCTTTCTGGCATAGTCTAAAGTTACGTTTCTCTTCTATTGATTTTCCATAATGAGGCTGATATCGTACCGTCTTCCACATCCACCGCCGCCTTGTGGGGCCATCGAATTTCATTGCAAAATCACTGCAGGGGAAACTGCTGGCAAGAGGGGGTTTGGTTGGGTGAGTGAAGCATAGATTTTTGGTTTTTTTCCCCCCGGCTGTCATTTCTGACACGCACCCACACACCCACCCATGGCAACACACACACACACACACACAGATGTGTGGGGAAGAACACACACACACACACACATCCATAGACAAGCAATTTTATTGTCATCATTTGATACATACAGTGAAGCATCTCTAGGAGGAAAATTGAATGGTGAGTGCTATGGAGGGTACCTGAGCTTCTGGGTACAGCCTTCAGCGGTACTTCTGCCAAGTTTCGTGGGATTCAAAGATGTTTGCTTATCCTTTCATGGAGGAATCCATCCTACTGTGCAGGACATTTATTCTTTCGATTAATACAAAGTATTCGGGCAAGGCAGTTGCCACTGTAATTACACTCGCATTTTTTTGCACGAGAAATTCCTTGCACAAGGACACGGCAGGATGTGGATATTGTTTTTGCTGCTGCCATTAGCTGTCAAGTCAATCCTGACATTATGATTTCCACTTCATCAGCATGGAATTCCCCACATCCTCCCTCCCATTTCCTCTTGCCAATTCCTGGCTGCTTCCTCGCATAGAATTTTCAATTTATTATCTGCCCCTACGACTATCCTGACAAGTTTCTTTGGCTCCTTTTTTTAATTAAGGCTTGCTGGGTGCATAGTCTGGGAATGTGAGGACGATAGAGAGAGAGAGGGCTTGGTTAATATTTATTGCTATAAATAATTTTGCAAGTTTTATGCGGCTCAACTTTAATTTGCGAAGCGATAAATAACGAATGCGGCCCAGCCCCAACCCCACCCCCAGTCCCAGCTCCGAGAATTCAGCAAACCAAATCCCATTCTCAAAGCCCATTTTGCCCGCTCCACGAATTTTCCCCACACACATGGAAAGCCGTTAAATGAAAGTGAAAAGAAAAGTGGAAAAGTAGCCAGCCAAAAGCAACAACTGCAAAAAGTGCTGAACGCGCAGACAAAGTACAAATTGCCCACAAAAATATAAAAACCAAGCCGGACATAGCCAAAGAGAGAGGCCCACAGGCCCACCGCACAAAACCCCCCACAAAGCCAAGCCGTAGCAGATGAAGAGGAAGCAGAAAGTTCAATTTACTACTTTTCACTTTAGCATACAGACATACATATGTATGTACATACACACCATATGTATGCGTGTATGTGTATATCCCCCCTCTGGTTTTTCCAAACATGGAAAAGGGACAGGAGTCTGAGACCACCACCCTCATACCATCCTCTTGCTCTTCACAGAGGCCAGCTGGTTAGCAGAGAAATTGGAGAAGTCTCAGGCCCATCATCCCACACACACACACACACACTCTTAGTAGATGCTTCTGCCACCACGTTCCCCGTTCCCCTGCCTCCTTTGGCAACCTTATCCCGACTCGGACACGACACTCCCCGCAGAACCAGAACTTTGCCTTTTTGCGTTAAATTTTTCTTTTTATTTTGGAATTTTGTTCGATATCACTCACACACATGCCCCACACACATACATGTACATATGTATATATATGTATACACACACACATGAATGAATCCCCAACACGAGCATCTAATTTTCTTTTAAGGTCAAGCTGGAAGAAGTTTTTGCTTTTCTTTATTTTTTTCTTGTGTTCGGTTGATGAAAATTACAATTTTCTTCGTATTTTTCTCTCAACTTTCATGTGGAGGGGAAACAAATTATTTTCCCTCTTGTTGCTTCCGTTCGTTCGCTGCCCCAGTCCCTGCCCCATTCGCTGCCTCCTGCCCCAATGTCCTTTTCCCCTCGTTTGGCCACTTTTTCTCTCTCTCACTCTCCTTGCAACATAACGTAACCATACAAGTACACAGGAGGCATGTGTGTGTGTGTGTGTGTGTGTGTCCTTTGCCTTCTTTCTCCTGACAACTTTTATTCCTCATTCCTGCTCCTGCTCCTGCTCTTTTCTTACTGCCTGCCCCTCACGCACATGGCACTGAGGCTGTGTGTATCCAATTGAAAAGGAAAGGGCCAACACACCAGAACCAACATAGCGAAGCAACAAAATCTGAAAACGAAACTAAAATTGAACCGAAATCTCTCATTAGTTCCCCGTTCGATACATGTACGATACATATGTATGTAGGTATGTTTATTTTTTTGGGTTTCCTTGCCTGCAGATTGGCAAGATGTCATAAGTACTCAGGGGTATACAAGAGAGATTCGCAAAGAGGTATACTGGGGGTATTTTGGCTACAGAGTGAACGGATTACCTCGACTCGTTTCTTAATGTTCCATGCATGCTTCGATGACTCCATAAAGTGCCATGAAATCGAACTTGACCCAGGGCTACAGATATCCGTTCTTTAGAGGTATGGTTGAGCAGCAAAAAATTCGGCCATGGTATGACCGCCCAGGTAAGCATAATTCCATCCATGTGTACATATGTATATGTATCTTCTACTTAAAATATACAAAAAAAATCAAATTTATGCCACGATATCATTGGATTCTCTTTCCATCCAATATCACTCTCTTCCAAAGCATCATATTAAATTAAATGTACCTGCAAAATTTATGCATAATCCACACTTTTTACCACGACCTACAACAACACCTACAAAAACCTCTCCGCTTAAAGATGATCCTTCAATATCTTATAACCATTGCCTTACCAATCCCAAATTATTTCCCAATCATTTGCCTTATTTGTGTTTAGTAAAATTTGTGTGTAAGTCAAAGTACAATTTTCGGTCATTTTATGTTTTACTTGGCAGTGCTACTCAACAATTTTGGCTGCGAATATGTATAGCCCGAGCAGGATGCTGGGCTTCGTCATTGGCTGGATACGGCGGCACCATGTTACGCTGGGCCTGCTCCATACGCTGATTTTCATAGTCACGACCGTGCTGGATTTCCAGCTGACTTTTCACTCCTGCGATCTGTCCTACTGGACTGAGATGGCCAGTAGGCCGATGACTGAGCAGTTCCTGCTGCCAATGCTCATTGCCATTAGCGCCAAGTTAACGGTGCTGTTTTGCATCGCTTTTGAGCACCTGGCGCCCCATCAGTGGGTCATCAGGCTGTTGAAGCGTAATGCGCGTCGGCGGTTTGCCAACTTTATTGTGCGCCGCCTGGTAATGCAGCTGGACCAGGCCAGCGCGCTGCTGCCCAAGTCGCGGAACGGAAGCCTCGACCTGTCAGACCCGCTCACCCAACAGAGCTACGTGGAGGCTCGAACGGCCCACTACAGGGCCATGGATCTCTTTCGGCGCGATGCCGATGCGTTGCTGGTGGAACGGCTGCCGACCAATGGGAATCCGCACATCTTTGTGCTGCAGGAGGAGGAGGATCTGCTCGCCAGGGCCGGCTACTCCAGCATCGGTCTGCAGGTCTCGGAACACGTGCTTCAAGACCTGCTCGGGCCTCAGGGAGGAGGCAAGCAAAAGCGACCATGGGAAGAGAAATTTTAGTAGACTTTATATTGTTAATGCTGTTTATTGTACTTTGGAGTGGAGCTAGTGGACAATTTTCATTCCATACATATGCAAACTTGTAATACATACGTACAAAAATATTTTTTGTCGCGTTCTGAAAAGTCATTAGTAGCGCACCTACCCCTACCCTACCCTACCCTACCCTACAATATCCTCCCCATATCCTCTGTCCGCTGTCCCCTGTCCCCTGTCCCTGTCCGTGGTGCTACGTCTTTGGTGCGTGGCGTGTCCTTTTGCGTCATTTATTTAAATTGCCGCATTTTCGGGACTAATGTGCATATGCCAAGGCACAAACAAATGAAAAACTCACCCTCTCCCCCACCCCAGACCTCCCCACCTTGATAGGCATTTGGAAAATGGGAAAACGAAATAACAAATACTTACCCCTCAGAAAAATCCATAAGTAAAATTATTAAAGTTTGTTGTTGTTGTCGTCCTGCGTCTAGGGTTTTATTTTTTGACACATTCCAGGGACTTAGCGAGCGGTCAACGAAACGAAGTCCCCAAAAAACACTCAGCACTAAAAGCTGTGACTGGGAGATTCGTTTTGGAAATACCCTGCTATTTAATGTGATTACACACCCACATATAAATTAAATACTCGATTAAAAAGAATTCACTTTGATTTAGATAATATTTGTTAATAGTGTAGCCCAAATTTAATCTACAGTTTCCACTCTTGCAGCAAATCTCTTGGCATAAATTTGTGTAGCTATTCTCCTGCCTGTGTACATACACGCACACAAGTGAAACATACCCACGCAGTCTCGTATTAAAGGGTATAATAAAAGTGAAAGCGTTGCCCAAGCATATGGTGACAACAAAAATTGTTGTTTGCGCTTGGCGCCGCCTCAACAATTTAATTGAGAATTGAAATTATATACATATACGCGTGCGAGTACGCACATACTTATCTGAAAGTGTATTGGTTATTTGGGAGGTGGCGCTGGCCCTCTCTAATGGCGTTCAAATGGGTGTTTCTGGACGGTCGGTGTCATTTGTAGCCATGGCTGCGCTGCGTGTGAGGTTCTACGTTCAAATCGATTAAAAACTAATTTTCCACAGACAAAACCAGCCGAATAATGTTTGAAAATAGTAATTAAATTGTTGGAAGGGAATACATTAGCAATAAAACTATATAGAAAATCTAATATATATATATGTATACATATGTATGTATATATTCAATATTGTATGAATTAATTTCCAAACTGATTTCAAAGTTAATCGCAAACTATGGCCCAACTATTTATATGGCTGTCTACTTAACTTATATCTCTGTATATACTTCACTTACACCCGCCCCAAAATGTATATGCACACCCAGCGGCTTTCTCTTTTCCGCTTTGGGGAACAGTTTCATTCTTCTGCTTTTTGGCAGCAGGAAGCGAGGCAGGGGACACGGAAACTATGAAGCTGTCAGGAACACGCGCCTGACGCGCATCTCCCTCTATGGCGTCTCCATCCCCTGGTACTGGCTCGGAACGGAATTGATTTCGTCGCATTCTTTACAAAAATTATTGATAAGACATTTCCACAGGCATTGTTGTTTGGCCATTACATGAGTGAGTGAGTGAGGGAGAGAGAGAGAGAGAGAGAGAGAGAGAAATGCCTGGGATGTGCGAGTGGAGTGGAGTGTGCGTTCTGTTCTTGTGTGCGCCTCATGTAATACAAATATTGATATACTTTGATTTCGCAATGCCTCAGAGGGGTAGCAACAAGCCAAAGCCAAGGCACATTTTGTAGCTGGAGGGTGCCCTCTCTCTCCTCTCCTTTCCTTTCCTTTCCTCTCCCTTCATCTCTCTTTGAGATATAGCAAAGCTGAAAGCAAAATGTCAAAACTCGCAAAAGTTGAAGTTTTGGCCCATGTCAAAAAGGTACAACTACGCGTAGCAGATACTTGTATGTACGTATGTAGTTTGCTTGGGGTGGCGCAGAGAGTTCCCGTCTCAAGGGCCACACAATCAGCTTAGACAAGTCTCTACCACAGACAAACAGACAGACAGACAGACAGAGAGAGACTTTCAATGGGAATCACAGGGCGACCAAAGCACATTTTAAGCACACGATGATGACACTTGTACCTGAGTGCATTTGCTTGAGCGCCGTCAAACTGGGAGCAGGCAGAGCTTTCCGAACCACTCACCAAGCTCACAAGCAGCAGCAGCAGCAGCAGCAGAGGGAGATCAGCGACAGCAGCAGCGGAAAGTAACGAAACTGTTACCAAATATGAAACTATAGAAGTACCGATTTCTGTCCATGTCTCAGCGTATTCCAAATAGACCATTGGATTGGCCAACCTTGGAGGTTTACTTAGGACAGGATTTACTTTCCAATTAATAAACACACACACTGGTCCATATATTTTATATGTATTTGTATATATATTTAATATAATCAATTAAAAACACATACAATTTTTGATAAATGCTCGCTTACAATGAAAATGAAAAATGTTTTTTCCTCTCCGTTCTCCGTTCTCCTTCCTCCTCATCCAATTTTTGATTCTTTGCTCTTTCACATTTTACACATTACTCGTAATATAAATAATTTCTGTTAAATTTTTTTTAGGTTTGGGTTTCACACATAGTTTTACATAATAACAAAGTAAAATTGTTAAATATATATAATAATATATATGTATATAGATATATTTTTGTGTATATATATCTCATACATTTTGCCAATTGCTAAATATAATTTTGATTTTTGATTTTGTTTTAAATATAATTTTGTTTTTGTTTTTGATTTTTGCTCGTGGCTTTTTGCTCGTAGCTTTTGATTTTGCGCTCTTTCACGTCTTTGGTTTGCATTTTGTTTTGCTCCTTCTCTAGTCATCCTTTTTCTTCTCCTTTTCTCCTTTACTCCTCTTCTCCGCTCTCCTCTCTTCACCATCGATTCTTTCATCAACTTCAACATTTGGAATTAATAATAATTTTCGAATCCTTTTTTTTTTTTTCGATTTTGTCTTAATTTTAAAACTAAAATATTTATCAAGAGTTTTCTTGGGGGTTTCTTTTTGATTTTTTGTCATTTTTCTTAGTTCTAATAAAATTTGATTTTTGATTTTTCTCTTGTGGTTTTTGCCCTCTGACCCCATTAGACTTGCATCTGAGGTCATACAAAATTTTGATTTATGCTCAAGGTACATTGCAATTTTCTTGTTGGTTTTTGTTTTTTGCTTTTCTTTGTAAAATTTATTTAGCTTTAAGGTTAAAAAATGTCTTCTTCTTTTCGTTTTTGTTTTGTTTTGATTTGTGCGCTCTTCTTCTACTTTTTTTGTGGGGGTTGAAAATGATAGGAAAATTTGAACGAAATAAAATTAATGGAAAATTATTTGCCAGAACCCATAAAAGGACCCAAAAATAATTCGAGAATTTGCATAGCGAAATTCGTTGCAAAAGGGGCGACGCGATTCGGACTAAAACACCCTCAGCGAATGAAATTTTTTCCTTTTCATTGGATTTTTCATAAATTGCAGTTTTCCAGTTCACTTTTAAGCATGCAAATAGCGGGGAACACCCTTATATCAATGCGGGTACTGAGATTGGGACTGGGACTGACCTGACTCCATGGGGTAGTACTCGTATGTAGATATCGTCGGTGCAGACTGACTTTGCGCCCTAAAAATTGCTGCCAGACGATTTTCCCGAAATTGCCATAAAAATTCAATAGAAAAGATTTTGGGCAAAAATGTCGGCGAAAATATTTATGAAATTTGCCTACCATCCCCCTGGTCCACGGTCCGATGTCCGTGGCAGCAACCCCCGCGGCCCAATCTTTAATTGCAGCAGCGCCCGTAAAAGTATCGGATGTCTGTACGTAATCAATGAGAAATGAAATTTGCATGGACACGTGACAAATAATTAACTGCCGAAAATGGGAGAAATTCAGCGGCCTCCGGGCTCCGGGGGTGGCTACTTTTAATCAATAGCTATGGCTAAATGTATATAGATTTTGATTTTGGATTGGAATTTTTTACAACTGCCGGCAGCTGCTGACCCTGCGGACTTGACCCTTACCGGACCATGCTGGGTTTTTGTTATCGCGCTTTTCGCTCCTATTTTTTTTCAGCGGGATATATATACTCCCATACAGATGTATGTATTTTTTAAAGCAAACATACTAATCAGGGGGTTGTTGGTCAATGCGTGTCCCAAAACCGGAAACAGTTTCCACTTATTATTGTGTTTTTTGTTGTTGTTGTTGTCGGAATGTTTTATGAGGGTGCTGCTTTAAAAACGGAAAGCAGCAGGGCTGGGGGTAACAGCTGCGAATGTATGAGTTTTGTTTTTAAAAGTGCTTAACCATATCTACATTGACGCTCAAGACATGCCGCTCCAGGCGGCATTGTTGACAAATTGAATCAAATGGCAATTTAATAATTGTTGTCGCCAAGGCGTTGGACCAGCATAGAGAACCCGCTTCCCCTATGGGAAGCCAAAAAAAAAAACAAAAGGAAAAGGTCTTCCCCTATCAAGCGGAACTTCTCGGGCCATCACGGGTTTCGTTTTTTTTTTTAAGATTCTGAAGTAGGTCCCCGGGTCGGGCACGCTTCAATCAAAGCATAAAAAATGTAATCTGGCAATTGAATAATTTGGAAATCACAAAATTTTCGAATTAAAAAGTCAATGAAAAGAAAAGAAACTCAAGTTTAACAAATACAAAATGTAGACATTTATTCGTAGTATATACACACACATGTGAAATAATATTGTAAGAACTAAGAAATAATTTGAATATAAAATAAAATTACAATCTCTATTTCTAGTTGGATTTCAATGTTAGATTTTGGATTTCCCTTTGGTTGTTGTTCTTTGTTGTTGTGTGGGTACGGGTACGGGACACGGCGTACGGGAAGTATTTGCTAAAAGGCACGCAGCATTTTAAAAAACACACGTTTTTAAAAAAAGGAATTTCAAATATAGCAAATCCAACAACGCCGCTCGCCGTTCGCCGCTCCCACTCGCATTCGACTCGGATCGAACATCAACTCTTCGAGGGGAATGGGGGCAACTCTTCTTGCTGCAGAACAAACGCCTTAAATACTATAAAATAATGTGCAAGAATCGTTGGCCCAGCACCCGAAGAGTTGGCAGGGATCCGATTTGGCTTGTGGTTCGATCTTTATATATGTATATGGTATATAGTCATTAATTGTATCTCCATAGGTTTGACTAGAATGTGTTGTTTAGTGGTTAGGCGACTAGTTTTGGTCTTTGGAATGTTTCAACTTAAAATTGTAATTAAACCAAGCGAAATATTACATACATATATTAACATATTAAATCATCATAAATCATCTAAACTTTAGTTGTTCTGCTCTGAGGTAAATTTACTACAAAAATTTCGTATTTAGCTTTAAGGTTTTTCATTTCTTTCGATGCGGTTTCGGTTCAATAGATTTTATATAGATTTATATTTTCTTTATAAATTCATTTCATTTAAATTATTGTTTTCAAGTCCGTCTGAGGTAGCAATTTGTGTTTGTTATGTTTTGTTTAACGTTTCATTATTTAATATATACTATTATTATTTTTACTCATTTATAGTTTATCGTTTTCATATTTATATTTATTTGTTCTTATTGGTTTTCTCTTCTTTAAATATGTTTGTATAAAAAAGTACTAATGGTCATTGTACTTTTGCCCTGAGTTTGTTTTTTTGTGTGTGTTCTTACTTTTACCTTCTGGCGCAATTTTCATTTATTCATCCACCCCATTCCCTCGCTCTAAACACCCTTCTCTGTGTCCCTCTTATGCCCCTTTCTAACTCTGTTCAATTTGCATCTAAAATCTGGTATCTGGTATTTCCCATGGAGTTCTCTTCTAGCAAATATTTTATGTACAAGTTTTGGTCGGGAAAAATCTCATCGAAATTGAAGACATTCGTTACAGGATTTCGTTTAAGATTATAGTGATTTATACGATATAGAGGGGCGTGAAAATCGAAGGAAATGGAGACATTCCCCCGAGTGTAGTCTCTTCGCTAAAAAAGATTTTGATTTTGATTTTGAGCAATTTCATTGTGCTGAAGCTTTACCCTACTCGTAGTTAATGGTTATGCCTATAATTTTGTGTGTGTGTGTGTGTGCTCAGCTCTAATTCTAAGGCCACACTACACCGTATCTATGTATTAGTAGATGAGAAATGTATAATTGTAATTTTGATTTGAAGCTGCTGCTGGCCACTACGATATACATATATGTATGTCTGTCCAACCATCCTCCCACTCTGCCTACCCCACCCTTATACATGTATGTACGTATTTAGATTTCCTCGCTCCTCTCCTCTCCACACCTCACCACACCACTGCTCTCTCGGCTGCAACTCTTTTACGATAAATTACTATTACGCATAGGAACTTTGATATTTAATCACTAGAGATATATATGTTATAGTTTGCGGTTTATGCCTATGCCTTGGATCCATCAAAATACACAGTATATATGTATATATGTATGCAGTATGATGTCTAGCACAGTGCTGCCAGCTGAAACGGACTTGTTCTTGTTCGGTTATGTGGGTTTTATTTTATGGGTTTATAGAACTCTCATTAGTTGCCATGTTAGACATGGCGAACTTTTTAGCTTTTTAGATTTCTGCGATTACCGATTGGTATTGATCGATTGTAATTGTTATTGTTTTTGTTTTGTCGTTAGGGGTTGTATATATTTAAGTTTAATTATGAGCTCAACTAATATGCGCACTCAGTCTTTTGTAGTTCCACTATTTTGTCTCTTGTTCATGTTCCTAACTCTTCTCTTCTCGGGTTTCTTCGGTTTACTTTCGTTCGTTTCTGGGAGGATCTCGATAAACGTTTCAGGGTTGTATTTTGGGTTGAACTTACGCTGCTGGCAACACTGTAAAAAGGGGTTGCACCCCGCTCCTTATCCGTAGGCTGCTTCTTAGGCTGGCGTTAGTCGGAAGCTGAGCGTGGCCGACTCCGAGGCCCGCACCCTCACGGGCAGATAGACCAGAGCCGGGGCGAACTGCATCTCCGAATCGGCATCGGCCGGCTGCAGATGGAATGCCTGCATCTGATATGCTTCCTCGGCGCGGTCTGGCTGCGCGTAGCTGGCCGGCTTGCCGGTGCCGTTGGCCAGATCGCTGCACACCTCAAAGGGCGAGGTGGCGGCCGACCGATGGCCGCCTCCGATGCCGTTGGGTGTGATGGACTTGGAGGAGCGGCGTCCTGCGTGATTCGGTGAGCGGTTCTTGGATGCAGTGAGAGTCAACGGCGACTGGGAGCGGGCCGTGGCCTTCGGTGAGGGAGTTCCTGGGGTGTGTTGTGGGGGAGAATGGGTTCCCTGGGGCGTTGTGGCTTTGGAGGTGCTCAGGTTGGTGGGTTCCACGTGAAGATCGGCTTCCTCCACGGCTGGCGGAGCTGCTGGCGCCCGACTGGACTTGCTGCGTGACTTGCCCTGGCTACGGGCTGCTGGCGGCGGTGGTGGCGCCTCCAATGACGGCTCCATGCCATCGGCACTGTTGAGCAGGGCGTGCGAGCGTTCGTGGATGAAGAGGAATGCGTAGTAGGGCGTGGTGAAGGGGCACATGGAGCACTGGTACTCCTTGAAGCGTGGCGCCTGCTCCCCGAACATCCCTGGCATAGGCGGCAGCGGTGGCATCCCCTGCATACCCTTCGGCACCTGCTGCTGCTGCTGCTGCATCTGTCCAAACAGATGCTGCGCATTGAGGTTCTGCAGGGCCTGGGCGAGATTGGGCGGAGGATTGCCAGCCCCTGCGGTGGGCTGTGGTGCGGGCGGGGCACCACTGCTGCTCCCATTGGGTATCTTGAGCGTGGGACTGTTGGGCTTGCTGCGCGCGGAAGTAGCCGCCGCCGAAGGAGCTGCCTCCAGTTCGCGGAGTCGCTCCACTCCCGCCGGTCCGTGCTCGTTCATCAGATGCGAGCGGAGCCACTTGAAGCTGCGGAACTGTCGCGCGCACAGCGGACACACCTCGTGGCCACTGGCCGAGGAGTTGCTCTCCCCGCCTGCTGCTGCTGCGGGAGGAGTCAGATTGAGCTCCTGCTGCTCCGCCTGTATGGGCGGTGCCTGTTGCGCTGCCGCTGCTGCGGCCGCCGCCTCCAGCTTGACGCCGTTCTGGCCCCGCGGCTGCGGCAGGGGCGAGCCCTCCTCGATGATGCCGTGCGTGTTGTGCTTGTGGACGCGCAGGAAGTACTTGCTGCACAGCTCCTTGTTGCAGATGTTGCACACCACGCCCCCGATCTGGGCGCCGTTCTCGATCTCGATGCCGTGCATCCGCTGCATGTGGGTCTTCATGAAGTACTTGTTGCACAGCTCCTTGTTGCAGATCTCGCAGTAGCTGCTCGTCGGCGTTATCGTGTAGGCCGGCCGATTCGGTGGCGGTACGGGAACGCTGCCAGCGCCAGCGCCAGCTCCAGGGGGTGCCACCGGACGCTCGGGCGTGTAGAAGCCCTCGCGCAGAGGACTGCCACTCGGAGCGCTGGCTACCCCGGCGATATGTTGCTTGAATTCCTCGCCACTGCCTGGCGAGGATCTGGCCCCGCCAGCCCCGCCATTCGGGGGCGTTTGTGGCGCTGCCTGCTGCTGGTAGAGCGCGTGAAGGGGCAGCTGCTGGGGATGCTGTTCGGGCAGTGGCATGGCCATGCCGTGGGGCATTTGCAGGGGCATCTGCATGGGCAGCTGCATCTGGGCGGCATGCTCCGTCATGAGATGCGCTCGGAGGGCGTACTGGTTCTCCAGCTCCCTGCCGCACAGGTGGCAGGGCAGGGGTCGCTTCCCGTTGATGTCGTTGAGCTGCTGCAGCATCGACTGCAGCTTCTGGAGATTCTGCAGCCCCATCACGGACCCATTCAGCTTCTCCTCGTCGAGATCTGGTTCTAGTTTGATCCGCTTGCTGGGCTGCTCGCTCAGATCCTGCTCCTGCTCCGGCTCCGGCTCTGGCTCCTGTTCGGGCTCCTGGTCTGCCTGCTCGGCCTGTTCCATAGAGGCAGCCGCCGCTGCCGCATGCTTGGCCAGCATCAGATTCAGCGGCATAAACGGCCAGCCACTCAGCTGTGCCTCCTCCTTGCCCAGCTGCGGCAGATCCTCTGGCGGCACGAAGACCCCGTGCCGCTTCCACTTGTGGGTGCGCAGGAAGTACCTGTTGGCGTACTCCTTGTGGCACAGCTCGCAGTAGAACTCCGGAAAGTGGACGCCCAGGCGACGCAGCTTCTCCGCACTGAGCGAGCAGTCCCTGGCCTGCTGCTGCAGCTGCGACGGCAGCTTGCGCGGCGGCGGCACAAAGCTCACCTCCTCCTGCTCCAGCGAGAAGTCCTCGCGGAATCCCTCCGGCAGCTGAAACGGTTGCCTGGGCAGCTCCGCCTCTGTCTGGGCTTCCTGCTTGATGGCCAGCGACTGACTCTCGATGGGACTGCCGCGTCGCGACTGCCCGGGCTGGGAGTTTGGCGATGAGTCGGCGGCCTGGTCGTGCTGCTTGGCCCGGTGGCGTCGCATGGCAAAGATGTTGGTGAAGCGCTTCGAGCAGATGTCGCAGTGGATGGTGGCCGCCGGCGGTGCTGCCGCGGATTGATCCACTTTGGCGGCCGCACTCGGCGGTGGCGGTGGCGGTGGCTGTGGCTGCGCCTCCCGCTGCAGCTGGAACATGTGACTCATGGAGCTGCCACTGTTGCTGTTGTTGTTGCTGCTTGTCGTGTTGTTGTTGTTGTTGCTGGAAGTATTGGATGTGGGCTCGCCCACAGGATCAAAGATGCCGTGCTTGTTGGCCTTGTGCGTCTTGAGGAAGTACTTGTTGCAGAACTCCTTGTTGCACAGCTCGCAGTAGGCCTCCGGGTTGAAGATGCGCAACGGCGGGCGATTCAGCCCATCCACGCCGGGGAAGCCCGACATGCCGAGCAGCGGCAGATAACCCGCTGGACCCATGCCGGGCGGAAAGGGAAAGGCGGGCGCCAAAGCCGAGCCATGCGGATGATGCTGCTGCTGCTGCTGCTGGGCCATGGCATTGAACCAGTGATCCTGCTCCTGTTCCTGTTCCTGCTGCTGCTCCTGCTGCTCCCTGCCATGGCCATTGGACATGTCCTGGTCCAGCTGCATCTGATTGGGGCTCTCCTCGCGCTCCAGCTTCACCTTGATGGAGCTGAGAAAGTCCATGGGCTCCACATCCCCATGCCGATCCAGCTGCTGTCCCTCGCGATGGTCCTGCAGCATGTGGAGGCTGAGCTTGAACTCGGTCTCAAAGTTCTCGCCGCACTCCTTGCAGTAGGTCTGATACGGGTTCCGTCGCTGATGCTGCTGCTGCTGTTGCTGTTGCTGCTGCTGATGCTCTGATATGTGTTCTGGCGAGTCCTGGCTGAGATCCTGCTCGTGCTCGGGCTCGGGCAGCTCCTGCTTGTGCTGCTGTAGCAGCTCGAAGGTCTCCTTCAGCTTCTCCATGGACTTGGGCAGGAACATCTTCGATAGCTTCTCCTCATAGTCAACCCGTGTGCGGTCCTCGATCTCTGGCATTGTTTCGCCGCCGCCGCTGAGGTTCAGTGCCTCCAGGCGACTGGGATTGTGCTGCTTGCGTCGCTTCTTGGCCGCATCGCTGAGGGCTTCCAGCAGCTGCAGCTGCATGGCTGCCGCATTGGCTGCCGCCGCTGCTGTCGCTGCTGCCATCGCCGCCATGGTGTCCCCCTCATCCGTTTCCGTTTCCGCTGCTGCTGCTTCCAGTAACGCTCCATCCTCCACTCCATTTCCCTCTGCCCCTCCCGTTTCCGTTGCCATTTCATCGTCTTCGGCATTGTCTGGCTCATTTGTGCTGCTTCCCGCTGGCTTCTGCTTCGTCTTTGGCTCCATCTCCCGCTCCTGCGCGTGCTCCTGCTCCTGCCCCTTGACCAACTGCTCTGTGGGTGAAATGGTGCCACCTCCTCTTGCTCCTGCTGCTGCTGCTGCTCCTGTTTTGCTGCTGCTGTTGCTCTTGTGGCTTCATGGGTATTGTTGCTGTTGTTGCTGTTGTTGCTATTGTTGTTGCTGTTGCCTCGATTCGTGTTGAGTGTCGACGAGTTGGAGACATCGGAGAGAGCAGTGTCCTCGCTGCTCAGATCTGGCGGTGGGGTGGCATATATGGATGCAGCCATTTTGGATGATATTACTGCAAAGGAGAGAGCAGAGAATGAGTCTGGGCAGAAGTGGTATTGATGGGTGGAAGCGAGAACTTTTTAATTGAAGTCGCAGCCAAAAGCCGAAGCCATGCTAGCGGGTGGTGGGGGGTTAGCTCAGAGGGGTGTGGTATGCATGTACATAATTTAATTAATTTGTCTATATATATTCGATTATATATTATATGTATCTATGAGGGTGTACTGTGGTTGATAATTCACAGGCATAAAATGGGAATATTTGTAAGTTCAATTCCATACCCTGATCAATCCTTTAGCCGCTCTATACATCCTCTCCATCTATCATTTCCCCTCCACACCCCACTCCACCCTCAGTATACATAATGTACAGATGCCGTGTGGGCTTAAATCCGTTTGAGCATTATATATTGCCCGAAAATACAATAATAATAAGATGAAAAAGAAAAGTCGTAGAATATTTGGGCTAGAATTTCATTCAATTTTGGGTTTTTGGCTTCTTGCTGCTCCTCATTTTTCTTCTTTTTTTTCCCCCTTCCCCCCATGGCACTCCTTACCCAACACACACACACACACACATACAGCTCTAATATTTGTGTCTCATTTCCGTATGCGCTTAATTTCATTTCTCTGCTGCTGCTGCTTCTGCTTCTTTCTTCGTCATCATCATCATTCCTTGGGCCTCCCACATCCCCCCTAACATCTCTTACACCATATTTCCTACCCTCTCTTCTGCTCCCTCTCCTTCACCCACTCTCTTTTCCCACCCAGCCACCTATTCCTATATCGCTACACTTTTTCATTTTTGTGCAAATTCTATGAAAAATTTTTCCATTATGTACACAAATATCCAGGCAGAGTCCTCAGAGCACACACACATACACACATACATATATGTATAAGTTTTTTTTTTTTTTGTTTTTGCTGCTTGTTTGCTATGCGCCCCAAATGCCACCCACTAGCACACAAACACACAGTTACCGTACACATACATACATATAGAAACCCATTTTTTGGTGGGGCAGTAAGAAGGACAAGGAGAAGGAAGGGGAAGGGGAGGCGCACACACGAAAATTTATACAAAGTCATCCGATTTAAGGAATACAAATTTTGCTTATTTTCTCCACTCTCTCTCTCTCTCGCTCTCTGTGGCACACACCAACACAGCAAAACTTTTTGCGCCACACAAACAAACACACACACACTCACATACAACTCCCTCTCTGTCTCTCTCTCTATCCGCCTGAACACCCCCCTCACTTGAGCCGAACATAAAACTTATAAAAATTTTCTTCAACATGACTTGGTAAAATAAATTTGATTCTCAAGAAAAGCGAAAAAGGAAGTAAGACCAAAAGCTGGTTGGCTTGGAGCGGGGCGGAGGGTGAAGAAAATGCCTGGCAACCAGGGTCAGAGGGGGAGGGTGTTGGGAGGTGGACTGTCAGTGGCTGGCTGGGCAGGGAATGGGGGAAATTTTTCGAAATAAACCGAAAATTTCTTTTTCCTATTTGAGTAGCAGCAGCCAAAAGGGAGAAGAGCTACGGGAGGAGCAGCAAGAGCAGGGCTGAGGGAGGGATGGAAGAGGAAGGAGGAGCATGGCCAAGAAGGAGAGCAGAAGGTGGCAGAGGGAAGGGCCACAGAGTGGGTAAGAAAAGCAAAGAAAAATATTCTCAACTATGCTGCAGACATAAATTAAGTTTCCATGGTTGGAAATTGGTTCTCTTGCTACATTTTCCTCTTTTTTCTTTGCTGTTAGTGTTGTTGTTGCTGTTGACTTTTCTTTTATACAATTTCTTCAGGACATTCCCCCTCTTACCAGGCTTCCCCCCTGGACCAAAACATCCTTCTGGCCTTCTGGTACTTTGAGAAGTTAAGCAAAAATGCCTGCCAGGATGTGCGCATTTCTCTTCAGCATTTCACTCCCTGCGACTGTGTGTGTGTGTGTGTCCGTGAGTGTAGTATCTATGCGAGTGTGGGTGGGTGGGGGAGTGTAGCGTAGCTGAGTGTTGCTTGTATTTTGGTTGGGATTTTTATAAAGCCTAAGGTAGTTTGATGTTATTTTATTTGATTTTTTTTCTGCCTGCCTGCCTGCCCGTCCATCTTTTGGCCGGGTTGAAGAGATGGGAGGAGTGCTGGGAGGTGGAGGAGGATGGCCAACAAAAATGTTCGAAATGAAAATGGCAGCCGAGTGTAAACAGAAGCATGTACTCGTGCTCCCATCATATATGTACATATATGTATACTATACATGGCATACATATCGTATATTTGAGGAGACTCAAGACGAAAGGCGACTAATTTGGCCCACCAACATATCAAAGTAGTTTCAGTGGCTGTGGCCCAGACGGAGGTGAGGAGACACTTGCCAAAGGAAAAGCCAATAATGTCAGATTGGTTCTGGTTCTGATTCTGGTTATGGTATGCCTTCCATTCGCTTAAGACTTTGGCAATTAAAACAGGTAGAAGCAAAACAAATAAAAGAGATAAATGGCAGCGTCCCTAACTAGCCAAAAATATTTAAAACTAATTCTGATATTTAATAAATTAGTGTAAATAATAGCAGAAGAGAACCAGAAGAGTTCTACGGCTAATTGGGCAATAAACTTCTCAATTGAATTAGAATTAATATATAGACCAGGTAAAAGTAAAGGAAAGTAAATTCATATATCAAAATCTCACAAGTTTAATCAATAAATGGTATAAATTATTATGTATTATTAATTTATTCTGATAGAAAAAAATTAAATCAGGTTTCTGTGATTATTTGACGATCTATTAATAGCATTTTCCACAACAGATCATGGGTGAGAATCAGCCACCTGCCACTCATTGCCTAAAACCCACACACTTAATCAAGTGGAGTGGTCCGAACTGATCAGATTCTGACACTTTAAACTACAGATCACTGATCATTGATCAGCATGACTGAAATGCACTTAAATCCACAAATATATATGTATCCTCTAATTTGTATCATGAACATACTCATTAATAATTTGTTGTAGCTTTGTTCCGCGATCAGTTAAACTTTCATTGAATTGCACTTTCAGTTGGAGAACAGTTTCCATTTAACTTGAAATTGGTTTTCGAAACGTTCATTGGATCACTCTTAATTATCTTAATATTCTTAAAAGTCACTCGGTCATGCGCGTATCGCACTTTGCACTCTCTGCACTCTGCGCTCCGTTGCGATCGTGTTTGGTGGTTGTGTTGTGTGTCCTGCCAAGTGGCCCGTTCGTTTGCAACTGCCGCATGACACAGCAGAATAACAAAAAATATCAACTATCAATTTACCGATTTCCTGAAAATCAAAACAGCAAATAGCAACAATGATACTAAAATCACAACGGTACACACACACACACACACGAGGAACCCTTACCCTCTATAGCGTTTAATAGTTTTTCCACACACACACACACACAGACAGACTGAGCTTCTCCCTCTACCCATATCATGGTAAAAACCTCAATAAAACACCCCAAAATATCAAAAATCATAGAATTTCCCTTAAAAAAAAATCCATACAACGAAAACTGAGCAGCGCTGCCCGGAAAACCATTATTGCTCCGCCCCTTTTTTTGGTTTTCTTTTTTTTCAGTAAAATTTTTCAGTTACCACCACAACTACAAAACTACAAAGGGGAAAGGGATAGAGCGACAGAGACAGTCATAGAGCAAGCAGCAATGAGCGCGCAAGAGGGAGGGGTGGAGACGCGAATGAGCAACAATCGCATCGCGCAATGAGTTTTCCTTTGTTGCAGCAGCAGCAGCAGCAGCAGTACGAGTAGTTCTTGTCGTGCCAATTATTTATCATATTTCAATAGGATTTTCAATTTGTTTTTCTCCTACTACAGTGGAGTCAGTTCTTCGGTCGTTGCTGCTTACTGGTTATTTTTGTTATTTTAACTTTTGCCACGCTCCATGTAATTTATGTGACTCTGTCTTTTGGCTCGTTCCAACCCTTTCCGAGAGCACTTGCATTGGATGGTTAAGAGGTAATACATAGTAGAGGGTCTCGGGGTTGTTATACGCCTATCAAGGTGTGAGGCTGCGATTGGATTGCTCTAATTGAAGGGTTTTTGCGGTTGCGGGGATCAATTGGGGTAGACTCTCAGTTAGGGCGGATCCTTAAAGTCGTTCTTTATTGGGAATGCCATTGTTCAACTTTGTATGTCTTTTGGAAGGGATCTTGCTTCGAGGATTCAGCAATTGTCCCTTAATGAGATGATCATTTGTGATGATTACCAAAACCATGAAAGGGATGGCTCATGTCGAATTCGAATGCTGGGCAGAGAGGGAAATAAATGGTTGGCCGAATGATTAGCTGTTTATTCCCATAGTTACTTATACATTTCCCTTTCTTACTTCTTCTTTTGAGTGCTGACTTTTTTAAGACTGATAATTTCATAATTTTGATGCGGGTGTACTTTGTACTGAATCTAGTCACATTAAAAGATATGTATTTCTGCTCTATAATTCTGCTGGTAAGAACAAATGATTTCGTTTTCTTTTTCCCTAATTATATAATAGCAGAAATGAGTGTGAACGGTTTCATCTTCAGGAAGTGAAGACTCATTTACCTTCCCTGGGGTTTCGGGAAGGCTTCCTAGCATCTACACACAAATCTCAACTAGAAGCATGCCCCAGAGATAGACGAGGGATTGTTTTGCTTCGCCCAGATTGATAGATTGATTTTGACTTGGCGAAAGATATATTGCCAGTGTATCGGTATGCGTGTGCACATATACATATGCAGCTATGTATCTGTGTGAGTCCAACCTTGGCCACCCTTTGGCATTCGGCATTCCACACACATCAAAAGCCGCAAAAGCGAAAGTGACTTGGGGAGACCCTCTCCTTTCCTCACTTTCCTATACTCTCGTCCGTTTGTTGCCGCTGCCGCTGTCCTGCCTGTCCTGCCTGTCCTGCCACGCAATGAGCGGCCACTGGGACTGGGACGCAGCTCCTGCGCCTGCGCACAGAGTGTGCCACTTTACGGATTCCTCTCTGGCTCTCCCGCTCTCCTGCTGTCATACATGTGTGTGTGTGTGTGTGTGTGTGTGCGCCGGTTGAACGAACCAGGCGAACACAAACAACAACAACAACAGCAACAGCCGGAGGAGCCCAATCATTCGAGACAGACCCATTGGTCGGGAGCTGCGTGGGCGCTCCGAGATCTCTCGGTTCGGGGCCATTTTCGGGTCGGACACGGCCACTGGGCCGCCACCGGTCTGGCCTGCCGTAGCCGTAGTCGTAGTCGTGGTCAAGGTTTCGCTATTGACTTTCACTTTCACACATGTCGGCACATGTCCACTGTGACGTTGCCGGCACTTTCGCTTTCCGTGGCACGCACCCCCGACGTGCCCCCACGCCACTGCCACTGCCACTGCCTCTGCCTCTGCCCGCTGCCCCATTTGTAGGCGCATGTCTCTCACGGTGCATGTATAGGAAACGTAAACAAACCGACACACCGCTGTGGCATTCGAAATTTTAAAAGGGATAATGGATTTGTGTGGTGCAGGGCAGGTCGACACCCGCCCTCTGCATTGGGCATTCGAGTAAAATAATAATTATGAAATTTAAACTCGAACCTTGTGGCACCCTCCCCCGAAAAATAGGCCATGTCCTGGTCCTGATGAAATGTCCGTTATGATTGATATACGCCCCTGTCGGCCCATATGCCACACTTACCCACTGACGCCCCCGATTGCCCCCGAATGTGGCATGCAATTAATATTTCTGATGAAAATCAAATTGAAATTATGCGTAGACTCAAAAATGAGAGCTGGCAAAGGGGAACACATAATAATGGGTCTGTGCTGTGGCGACAGAAAAACCAACCCCTCAGCTGTAGAGTGCTGATCTCTGTTGGTTTTCGGTTGAATGCGGGGGAGGAATATGCCAAAGGGACAGGGGGTAATGTGTGCGACAAATTGCTCTACTGCAACTGGCTAAAGTTACGTGAGATTTTGAGCAGTTTCCTTCGATGATTGAATCACGATTTGGGATTTGAATTGGAAGTGGGATTAATATTCCATCAGCTGGTCATCGAATGCGTCTTTAAGAATTACCTTCATTATCCCAAAATCCTAAAGGTTAAGAGGTAACTTCGATAAAATTTTCGTGAAAATTCATTCACCTCTTGCCTGCCCCACCCCCCACACCACCCTTAATCATGGCTGCAGGCACACAAAAATATACGAAATGCTTTGCCCTAACACACATAAAAAAAAGGGAAAATAACATTGCCAGTTTCTATGGGGCCGCCGCTCATTAGTAAGAAATCTCATTAGAAACCGATGAACGCGTACAGAAAAAATAACACACACACACACACAGAGAAGGGCTGATGATGGGAGGGGAAGGGGAAAAGGAAAACCTTCTAATGAGAACTGTTTTTGGGGGGGGTAAATGAAAATCGTTCACCAGTTTTCGATATTTTTCTTTCATCATTTTCACTTTCACATCTACGGCGGCGCATGGGCGGCATGAAGTGAAAAAGTTTACCCCCCACCACCCTCCAAAATTACCACTACCCTTCCATAACTCAAACCTCCTCTAATACCCCCTACCCCTCTACAAACGACATTTTTTCCGAGCGGCTCGAACCAACCGAAAAGCCAACCAACCCAAAAGGAAAACTATCTTTCCCTCTCTTTTGGGTGGCACTAAAATTTTGTTTCTATCAAATATTATTTTCCACAATAAACTAAAATGAGACTGTGTGTGTGGTGTGTGTGTGTTTTCCACCCCCTAAGCTCTACAGCGTGTGTGTGTGTGTGTGCGTAAGGCATGATAAAATAAAAATACGAAAAATATGAAAAAAAAAAAACGAGAAAAATTAATAATGAAACTCAAACACAGAGAGACAAGGACAAATGCTATAAACATACATAAGCCATAGCTGTACGTCTATGTGTGGGTGAATTGTATACACGTGTGTGCGAGCGTGTGTGTAGCAGGGAAGGGGATGGGGCAGCAGCCTGCTTATAATAATCATTTTGATAATAAGGCAAGTGTACGTACATACTCGTATGTACGTACAAAAGTTTTCTCTAATGAGATCCCCATCATCATCATTGGACATTCCTCATTATCATCATCATCATCTTCATCCCAATACTAGAAGTTTTATCTAGATTCTAGACCCTGTCACAGTCACCCCCATAAGTATGCAGGCAAAAACATTTTGGCAAGAAATCTATCTGCACAAGTTTTCACCCAAAAAATAAGTTAAATAAAATAAAAGAAAAGCAGAGAAATTCCATAAATTTTTGCTTAGGTCTTCTTCCCTCTCTCTCTTACCCACACACATACACACACATGTACAAGCTTATTGGCAGGAGGGTTGGGGAGGATAAGAGAAGTTTGCAATTTTATCAGGAACACACACACTCACATATATATATATACATATATATATATATATATATATATAGAAAATGTAACCCTCCTACCAAACTTCTCTCCTTTGGCGACCCCCCAAGCGAGTTTATGAAACCATCAAATTATTTTCTTTTCCATTTCTGACACTCAAAAGAAAACGGCAAACACACAGCCAAAGAGAGCGAACGAGAAAGAAGAGTAGAGCGAAAGAGTAGGAAAGTAAGCATGCTGGCTAGATGGGTGATTTTAGGGGGGGAGGGCGGTGAAAGCCAGCGAAGAAATGAAGGGAAAGAAAAAGGGGAGAAAAAAAATTATTATTTTCCAGTTACACTCTTCGCATGGGTCTCCATGGTGGCCCTGGCACATCCTTTACATTACATTTTCCTCCTCAAAGTTTTTGCCATAAGTTCCACCCACCCCCCCTCATACTTTTCCTGTTCTTCCTTAACCCAAAATGCCTGCGGGTTACATTTTGCCCAGTCCGTGTGTGTTTTACTCGGTATTTGTGGGGTATTTTGTATTCTTGGAAATGTCAGCCCAGTATATATTGTATATACCTGATTAGCATGAGCTTTAGTTGGATTACGATGTACAGATAATATTGACATATTTCCTGTAATGAGTAAACCTTGGCCAACCTAAGAGAATTGTTTATGCATGACCCCCTGTTAAAGGGTATCTCATAGTCGGAATGCCTCTCCCAGTTGCTTTTATGTGTTCGCTGGTGTGTGTGGAGCTACTTCGTCTTATTCGAGTACGAAATTTTTATGAGAAAATGCCTGCCAGCTCAGGGCCACTGCTGTTGTGGGTGTTGGGTGTTTTGGCGCTTGGGTGCTTGGGTGTGTGTTGGACCGGCCCAAACGGGCTGTATATCAAAATATTTAAAAGCAAATATAATATTGGGGGAGTTAAGCGCTGGGCGGCTGTATGAGTATATTTATGTGGGAGGATTACGGGCAAAAGGCGTAATAGGAAAACACTTAAGCAGCCGCCCAGCCGCCCAGCCACCCATCAACGCCATCCCCAAGCGAAATATGAAAATGTAAAAAAAATTATATACATATATAGCTTATACCGTATAGTCAGATGTAGATATGTACATATATTAATAATGAGCCGCAGCGCCAGCGCAAAGAGAAAATGAGAAAAATAAAAAAAAAAACGAAAAAATAAATTGTGTGTGTCTGTGTGTAGAATTTATTGATTTTCAGCGAATAAATATTGCTGGAAGAGCACATGGCAAGTGACTTAATATCAGTCTGCTTTGATATTAACATACACACACACATATTAATATTCATATAGTATATGTATCTGTATCTGTATGTGTATGTGTATATTTTTATATTGAAATTGATTTGGCCTGCTGACGCAGCCTGTCCGCTGCTATCGTTGAAATTTTTATATTTTTATTGTCAGTCGCAGTCGCATTAAAAATACTTAATCTCCGTCGGCACAGTTATTGCCCCCTCGCCATAAAATTTGCTGGGTGCAGTGTGTGGGTGTGCACGTACATATGTACGTATGTATATATGGGGCAGTCCAGTACTTTAATCATGTCCATATCGAAAAATTTTACTTTATCGCTATCCCTAGCTGGGACGCACACACATACATATGTACATATTATTATTATTATTATTTTGCTGTTCTGTACTCTTCTGTGCTTTATTAGCAACCGTAAGCGGGCCTCATGGCGTATGCTCAATGTGTGATAAATACACGCGAGAGAGAGAGTGAGAAAGATAGCTAATGAGACTTTTTAATAAATTGCCCCATTTTGCCTTTGTCCGGTCCCCGTTTTGAGTACAATTTTCATTATTAATAAAACTTTATGGCATCTATATCTGAGTTCGGGTTCGTTCCGTTGTGCATTTTTGTTTCATAAAAAAGGGGCGGACACACACACACACACACACACACAATTTATTATTCCAATTAAATTTACCAACTTCGTTTGTCTTTGTCCTAAACAATACATATGAAAGTGCATATATCTTGCGGCTCTGTGTGCGTCATGACATCTATCAAAAGTTGGCTTCCATTTTGGACTACGAGTACGAGTGCCTTCTAAAACCGACAATTGTTGGACCCATTACAATATACAGAGATAGGTAAGCTGGGGAATGTTAAGGTTTTTCGCCAAGGTTTTAAAATATTTGATATATTTAATTCTGTTAAATAATTCATTAAATAAAAATGTAATTCCTTTGAACGCCACAACAGGATCTATTCCAGGCTTTGGGTGACCCAACTATGAATTATGTGAATTAAATTTTTCTCATTTCGATCCAGTTTATCGCATAATACTTTAAGTAGTTTTAGACGGAATATTCTTGAGCTTTGATTTGAATTATGTGGGTGTGCAATACACTTGTATGTATATACGTACTTGTATACAATTAAATGCAATCCTAAATCTGTTGTTTATGAACATATAATAAACCCTATGAAGTACATGCATATCTGTTTTTAAATGTTGGGGTTAGTGAAGGTTTGTGTAGGGGCTAGGGTTTGTGTAGTAACATTAATTTGTATTATTCTATATTTATATTGAGTATTTTCTAGATATTTTTAGATATAGTAGTAATAAAAAAGCAATCCGTCAATTTCCATAGTTACGTCTCCCAATCTTTTGGTAAATCTGGAGAGTAACTTGGATTGCACAACATCTAAATGGTATGCGATTTTTGATAAGCATTCCAAAGCATTAAGCAATATAATTTGATGAATTTGCCAATTTTAATTTCATTTGATTTGGTTTTTTTTCTTTCATGTAAGCCAATTTATGGAATTTCGTTAGAGTTTCTTTTATGGGGCGGGCCAATGCAAGCGGATAGAGTTTATATTGTTCTACGGTTATAGTTCGGTTATGGATTTACGATTAATCAGATTTGGTGGTGGTGGTTTAATGTTGCTGGGGGACTCACAATGTCTCTGGCCAGAGAGAGCATCTTTAATCCTAAGTGTAAACTTGTGCGAGCGTAAACGCGCTTCGAACGGAAACGGAAACGAAAACTCCACAGATAATGCATATTTATGGCTAATATTTTTATTGATTTATGTTAACGATTAAAGCACTTTATTGGTTTGGATTTTGATTTTGATTAGGATTTAAATTTTGTTTTTTAGCACATTGTTTCTGGTTAGAAAAATACAAAATATTAGCTTCCGTTGCCACCACTTTTACATGTATTATTTTCGTATTGTTATTGGCTTACAAATCCTTGGCTTGGGGGGTTTTTTTTTTGTCACTTTAACACTTTTGGGAACACTGAAATCGGCAGATTCTTATGCATGCTTCTCATTCTTCTCATTCTTATTTTGCTGCTGATACTGATTCTGGTACTGATTCTGATTCTGGAAACTTACAGAACTTGTACGGGGCGTTACACTTATTCGATCATGCCGACAAGTCTTAAACGACGTTGTGGTAGCCACGCGCGGCTACTTCTGCACCACGTACGCGTTTTCTGTAGACTGAATCGGGCTTTTCCGTTTTTCCGTTTGCCAGCCTGCCCGCCAAAGGATGCACAGGCACCGCCGAGACACCCACACACACACACATGCACCACACAGCCGAAGAGAGAGCGTGCGAGAGACAAGAGAGAGAGAGCAGCCACAACCACCACCAAGAGCCACCACCCCCACTGCCCGACAGCCGCAACGCTCTGTTGCTATTTTGTTTACTTCTCGCTGCGGGGGCGTTCGTCGGCGAGAAAGAGCATAAGAGAAATGAGAGGGGGCGGGCGGGAGTGCGGGGGTGTTTGCTCTTCAAGCCAAAACATGTGTTAACCTTTTCCAGTGTCCAGCAAACTGGTTTAAGGTCCTCTCCAAAAGGGAAAAATTCATTACAGAGGAAACTTTCCTTGGAAAATGATTGCCTACTTTTGAGGGCATCTATTAAAAAAATCAGAAAAGATCACCAACTTTTCAAATGAAAATAAAAGATTTTATGCCTAATGCCATAATTATATGTATACAGCGCGCCCACTTGATGGATTCTTAGGGAATTACACACATGCACGTATGTACATATATACATATGTACAAGTATGAGAACTGAAATCCTACCCTTAGCTCGCAGGACATGCGTATTTGATCAACAACAAAAAGTAAAAGAGAAGAGAACTGTTTCCTCACAAGCGGTTAAGGGAGTCCCATTTTTTTTTTTTGTTGTTTCTGTTGTTGCTGAAACAGTTTATCAACACGACCAAGTCTCTGATAAAACAATCATCGTTTATGGTGCAACACGCTCCCCTCCCCTGCCCACACGTATTCCTGCAGCATAATTGAGAGATAGTCAGTCCAGTGACCAGAGCATGAACGGCACAGAACTCGTACTGGGGGTGGCTGTGGCCCTCAAGTGGGTATGCCATGGCGTGTGGAGTGTGGACATGTTCCGTAACCGCATGATTAGAAATCGACTAAAGTCGATGACAAAATGTCCTGCTGGGGGGTGCGGGTGCCCAGTGGTGCCTGCCGAGAGGAGGAGGAGGCGGGTGAAACTAGGTTAAACTCCAACCCAAAACATTCAAATTTTCGTTAAATGATTTTTTAAGCTAGTTTATGACAAACAATATCAGTGGAAAGGCGGAACCTGCGTGCGGCTCGGTAACTGCCTCTGCCCCCTTAAACGGTTTTCGCCCCCCACCACTACGAAATAGGGGCACGCAGCGGAAATGAGAAGGCATAGTTTTTCGCATTTTCCTTTAAATTACAAACAAAAAAATAATAAAAAACAGCCAAGGAAGGATAAAGGGAGCAGGTCGCAAGGCGGAATACCCTAGAAGTAGATCGGAAAAGATTTATAAAAGTAAAATAAAGGCTCAGAAAAATTAAGATGCACTAATCATTATTTCTATATAATTATTTGTAGAGTGTTTTGATTTAGGATATAAATTGCGCCATACCTCATATAGGTAAAATAAATAAATTACTTCTATTTTTAAGCCGTTGAATACAGATTGCAATATAGATTGTATATTCAGCCGATCTTATGATTAATCTACATAGAACTGTCAATAATTTTAAGACTTAAGGAATAATTTTTATGTAAAAGAGTTTCATCATTTAGTATCCACTGCAAAATTACTTTCCTAAGGTCAGTCATAGCCTGAAGCCTTTTGGAAGAGTATTTCCTAAGAAAATACGAATGAGAAATCAAATATGCGCTTAGCACGATATATTCAAATTTTTGTGCGTTTACCCCCTGCGAACGCGATGGTGCTTCCATCGTACAGATGGAGTGAAACGGGGGCTTTATTCCACTTGTTTTTTATGCCACATTAACCCGAACTGAATTTTTTCCAAGGGACTTTTCAATAATACTCGCGACCCCACTTATTTGTCGCCCTTGCTGCTGGTTGAAGTCTGCCGCTGTCGGTGCTGCAGCAGCTCCTGGTATTGCTCCACGGAGCCATCCTCGTGCTTGGAGGCGAACGGCGGCTGGGCCGCCTTGGCCTGCGCATCATCGGCGGCGCCGTCTCTGCCGTTGGCAGACTTTTGGGCACGCTTCGTCTTCTTGATTTTGTCACGCACGCGTTTGCCCAGCCGCGATGCGGCAAGCACCTGACTGACCTTGGAGCTCTTCAGGTAGCGTGTGCGCCAGGACTGCAAACGGAAATGGAAAAGAGTTCCAGCTGAGAGACTTGCTTTAGTTTTTGTTTTTGTTAGTTACCTCGGAGTCAGATTCCTTCAGCTTCTCGCGCTCATCTTCGCTGGTGTCCAGCAGGATGACATCGTTGTCCATTTCCTCGGGATTTGGCGGCTTTTCTGTCTTGACTGTCGCCGCGGGTGGCTCGTCCTCCTTGGTCATTTCCTCAATCATCTCCAGATCGCCTCCTATAGATATAACATCATCGTTTTGATCTTCATCTTCCAGCATGGGCTGCTCTACGGCAGTGGGTGGAAGGCTTGTGCTGGACAACTCTTCCTTGGGCATTTCTACATCGGCCTCGACCGCTTTTTCCGGCTCAGCCTCTTGTGCAGCCTCTGTGGGTTGCTCCTCCTCCGCTGGCTGCTCTGGCTCGATTGTTTTGACCGGCTCCACAGGCTCATCTCGCACTTCTCCCTCCTCCGGTTCGCTTTCCACAGCGGGTGCTGCCGGTGGTTCCTCTATAACTGGCTTTACGGTTTCCTTTGGCTTTTGCGGAGGAGCCTCGTCGTCGGTGCTGTCGCTGATCAGCAGTGTCTCAGTCTCCGTGGGTATGGGTATCACATCTGGCGAGGCCGAGCGTGACCTGTCCTTGCCAGCATCTTCTGAGGCAACAGGAGCTGGAGGCGCAGGGGGCGCAACTGTGACAGTCTTCTCTGGAGACTTTGTGGACTGTCGATAGTTCCGCTTGATTTTGATCTTCTGTCGTGGCGCTGTTACCTTTATGCTGCTCTCTGGCGCTGTCTGCGGTGGCTCCTTACTGGCCGACTGTTCACTAAGCTTTCGCTTGTCGGGCACGATGTCTCTGCTGCTGCGCTTCTCTGTAGCGGTGTTCTTTCTGTTTCGCTTCTCTGGCACGGTGCTCTTTCCGCTGCGCTTCTCCTTCTCCTTGCCCTTGGGTTTGTTGTGCTGGCTCTCCTCCTCTTCTTCGTCATCTGATTTGACCTCGATCTTGGTGATGGGTTCCATGGCCAGCTGCGAGCGAATGGCTCGTGCTCTTGCCTGAAGTTCCAGCAGTTCCAAAACGCTGATTTGTCCACCAGCTAAGGATGCAGAACAGATTGAATTAGGTATCTACATATGTGTATACGAGTAGTAGTCATTGAAAGAGCAGTCATGGAACCACTCTAGTATTTTTTTTAGTTTCACTTACACGTCTTGTTTTCGTTTCCATTATTTATTTGTTTAGCTTTAAGTTTCTTCCTCTTGGCTAAAATTGAAACAGAAGCAGACGAAATCTCATTAGTAAATTGTTAGAAAGGTTTAGTTCAAATTTAACTGCACGACACGGAATGGAGAAGCCACTGGTGCTGGACAGCCAGGAGACTGTCGAGGGCGAGGACGAGCATCTGGACGATGAGAATCAATTGGACAAGTTCACGGTGCGGCTGAATGGCCAGCACGATCTGGAGCAGCGGCTGCGCGACTTTAAGGCGGCCTGTGATGCGCACGAGAAGCATGCCAGGCGTCGCAAGCGGCGGCGCTACTACCACATGGGGCTGGTGGCCAAGCTGGTGACGGAGACCACGCCCGACGAGCTGCGACGGATGCTGGAGAACGGCACCTACACCTTTCACGTGGACGCCGTGTCCAACAAGCCCGACGAGCTCAATGCCATACTGGAGACGCTGAACCTTGCCATAGCGGCGCATACCGAAGAGCGTGAACTGCGCCTGGCCACCGGCTTGGCCTTGGAGATCAATGGCGAGTGCTGCCGCGTCGGCAGGCTCCGGAACAACTGCGCTGTGATGCTGGCCCGGGGAGCCGTCGTGACGCTGACCACGAACGAGGCCTATCGCTACGGGGGCTATAAGGAGATCATATTCGTGATCAATCTGATGGCATATCTGAAATCGGTCAAGAACAACGACATTCTACTGATTGGACGTGAGGTACGGTGCCGTGTGGTGAAGACGCTGCGCGAGGCCCTCACCGTGCTGATTATCGACGCGGGTCTGCTGACAGGCTACGACTTTATAGAGCTGCCGCGGCAATGCCATGCTCTGGATCCTGCTGTGTACCCGGACCTCTATATGAACGACCTGAGGATGGCCGCCGAACTTAAGGCCAACTATGTGGTGCTGCCGAAAATACGCTGCAAGAACTTCCTAAAGGCCGTTCGGGCGACACTCAATGAGGAGTTCGACCTGAAGCTGATCGGGATGATCGATTTCGAATACGTGCGCACGAATATGCTGGATCTGCTGGGCATCATCAAGCTGCTGGACTACATCTGGATACCGGACATGTTCAATGTGAACTGCTGTGTCTACAACTACATCATGGAGGATGTTCTGCCCATTTCCAACTGCCAGAAGACGCCGGTGATTGGCACGGTGCCCCTCGAGCGTTGCAGCGACTTTAAGCGCTTCGAGTTGCACGAGTTCCTCTGGAAGATCGATTCCATACACATCCAGAAGAGTCCGTGGTGCAACAAGTATCCGCTGATTGTCAAGAAGCTGATGCCCATCCGCGACTATCGCGTCGGCGTTGTCCAGAACAAGATGACAGTGAAGAACATTATGACCTCGTTCCAGACCATTGTGAACTTCATCATACGCACGATCAGCTCCATCGAGTGCCAGGCGGTATTCATCTATACCAAGTGCGAGAATGCCAGCATCGCCCTGTCCCGCACTGAGATCTATTGCCCCGTCTTCCTGATGATGCCCCTGATGGATGAAGACGAAGAGGCCACCATCAAGTGCAAGTTTGATCTCGCTAGAGCCCTGCACCTGCGCCGAAACATGCATCCCGTTCTCTACACCAAGGAGCTCAACGAGTGCAACTACAGTCCGATCGAGTTTGGTGTGGACTACATGCGGCGCAAGGGCTGCCTCGAGGTGGGTGACTTTGTGCTCACCCTGGAGGTGGGCAAGGAAGATGAGGAGAATGTGGTAATTGGCATTGACGAGGATGTGTGCATACTACGAGCATTCTACGTGTCTCCTTTGGTTGGTTGCGAAAAGTTCAAATATGGAACGTAAAGAAAGGAACTTCCGGCGTGCAGTTGTACACAGATATTGCTCCAAATTAAATAGTAACAGTATTAGACTTTTTCATTGAAAATTACTCACTTCGGCGTGCTTCCTGGCCTCCGATATCGCTGTCGGACGAGATCTCCTCCAGCGATATGTGTTCTGCAAATAGCAATCACGTATAGTGGGAATAATTGTGAATGTGTGTACACTCCCTTACCCTCTTTGCGCTCCACATCCGAGTCCTCAGAGCTCTCCGTGTCTGTGGGACAGCGGGTGCCATCAATGATGGACCTCAGCCGCTTGGTGGACAAACAGAGCAGCTCCTCCAGACAGAGCTCTTCAATCTCGTCCAGGGTGTTTTTCTACGGTTACAAAATGTCTATTACCTTATATCTGTTAGTGATTTTGCTCTCTCCTACCTTTAGCATTTCGGGTGCCAGGTTCATGATAGTTTTCGGCTTAAGGGTGCCGAAAATCTGTTTCACCAGCTCCAGACGGTCATCGATGTAGTGGGATATGGGATGCAGCGAGCGATCCTCCTCAGTCTTTTCCTTCTTAATGCTAATCGGCTTGGGTATTTGATCAGACCCCTTTGGCCTTTTTCCTCAAGCTGCTGCTCATTTTGTAGAATTTTTTAATAAATAAACAATTTTCGGTATTATGCGCAAGCGTTGCCGTATCAGCGCGTTTAACTGCAGTGCCAGAGTCGCAGTTTTTTGACAGTTCAGAGCAGCTGTTTCGGCGACGTGCGTGTGTGTGTGTGAAATACGAACAGTAGCATTTTGGCATTAAATTAAAAAAAAAAGCTGAGGTAAGTAATTAATTAATTAGGCAATTGTTTTTTAAGCATAAGAAGAGGTATGTTAGAAAGCAAGGCCAATTAGCAGATTGATTTCCGAAAGTAAAGTGTTACCGCCACGCCACAGTGTTGCCACACATCTGAACTCGAACATATGTTGGACAGAGGCCGTCATGGGGGGTTAAAGCGTCGGTAAAAATAGCCATTCAGCAAATAATTTTTAAAGTGGAAATAGGTCTTCTAGCCAAGTAGCGTCGAGCAAACAAATGTGGTGGACCGGTCGAGTGTGTGCAAATGTGTGCGGCGCATGGTAGTCCCCCGTAGAACTAATTAAACAGCCGCAGAAAAGTCTCGGAAAAGATTTGACGGACGGCCACGGGCATAAATCAAAGTACAAATCCCCCCACATAATTATGAGTGTCGCGCGGGGCGGCAACGCGGGCAGCACAACGCTGGATCTGGAGCCACTGCTGGACGCCAGCCATGACGACAGCGATGCGGATAATCAGAAAGGAGGCGCAACGGGCGGAGGTGCCATGCTGAATGGCTCCTCCTCGAAGGAGTCTCGCGTCGGCAGTGTGGGGCACCGGGAGAGAGAGCGCGAGCGGGACGAGTCGGCCGTGTTCATTAAGAAAATCAGCAGCGCGTTGTTCTACGGACTGTCGTCGTTCATGATAACCGTGATTAACAAGACAGTGCTCACGTCCTATCACTTTCCGTCGTTCCTCTTCCTAAGCCTGGGCCAGCTGACCGCCAGCATAGTGGTCCTGGGCGTGGGCAAGCGCCTCAAGCTGGTCTCGTTCCCGCCGCTGCAACGCAACACCTTCGCCAAGATATTTCCACTGCCGCTCATCTTTCTGGGCAACATGATGTTCGGCCTGGGCGGCACCCAGTCCCTCAGTCTGCCCATGTTCGCGGCCCTGCGCCGCTTCTCCATACTGATGACCATGCTGCTGGAGCTCAAGATACTCGGCTTGCGACCCACGACGGCGGTGCAGGTCAGCGTGTACGCGATGATTGGCGGGGCTCTGGTGGCCGCCTCCGATGACCTGTCCTTCAACATGCGCGGCTACATATACGTGATGATCACGAACGCCCTGACCGCCTCGAACGGGGTGTATGTGAAGAAGAAGCTAGACACGTCGGAGATCGGCAAGTACGGACTGATGTTCTACAATTCGCTGTTCATGTTTCTGCCAGCGCTGGCCCTCAACTTTTTCACCGGCGACCTGGAGCAGGCCATCAACTTTAGCGAGTGGCACGACCCCGTCTTTCTGACACAGTTCCTGCTCAGCTGCGTCATGGGATTCATACTCTCGTACAGCACCATATTGTGCACGCAGTTCAACTCGGCGCTGACGACCACCATTGTGGGGTGTTTGAAGAACATCTGCGTGACCTATCTGGGCATGTTCATTGGCGGCGACTATGTCTTCTCGTGGCTCAACTGTATCGGCATCAATATCAGTGTGCTGGCCAGTCTTCTCTACACGTACGTGACGTTCCGCCGGAAACGGGCGCCGGATAAGCAGAGCCACTTGCCCAGCAGCAACCGCGCCGAGAATGTTTAGCTTCCTCCTACAGCTTTAGCTCCAACTCAAGCCAAAGCCATACACATAATATATATGTTTAGCGTATTTCCGTATCCCTTATCCCACACGCACACACACACACACCAGCGCATCGTCTCTGTACATATATATATACATAGTATAGTATATAGTGTATATGTAAACATGTGTAGTTACTAATTAGCAATTATGTAATTTTAATCACTTTGTACATTTTTCCATGCAATTGTTCTCTGCATCAAGAGTGTCATAAGTAAATAGAAACTATACACAGACAACCAATAGCGAGTTCTTCTCCCACGTCTCGTCTCGCAGCGGAAAAGTGTGGAAAGATAAGTGCCCGTCCCATTGCTGCGAATGATTAGATTGCTTCCGCACGATAAGAATCATTTTAAGAACAGAAACTACCCACATGTGCGCCACATGTTATTTCTGCATTGGAAGATTCTTTACATTTTTACGTTTATCTTTTCTGCGCAAACAAACTTCCCAAAAAGCTTTGGGATATAAATGCTGCAGTGCTGGTCACTCCAGCAGCGTCATCACTCATCAAGTCGGCGTATAAATTAACAGCAGAATAATATAATAATGCTTAAAGCTGTTGGCTATCGAATGCTCTTTCTCATTGAATTATCTAAGGAAATTTTTCTAAGTATTTTCTAATTACTTTTAAAATGGCTACATATATAATGCCAGTCTGATAAGAAGGCCAGGCCCTATCAGTACGAGCCATATGAATATTTGATTAGCTACTGGAACGGAATGAAGCAATGATTAACGCGACACTTGATATGCTGCTGCTCTACTAGCTAGGGAGCCTATAGAAATCTAGTCTGCTGCACGTTCGCTCTAATCGGGAAGGAGAACATTCTTTGCGGTACGGTAGCTTGATTTGTACTCATGTATATTACAAGTAAATCAAGCGTGATAGTAAATTGGAACTACCTGTGGGACGTACCCGAAAAAGATAACAATGACGCTATTCAGTTTTGGTCTACCCAGTGGCGGCACTACCACAGAGGGCCCTTCGGCACTTTTTGTTTAGGTTAAAAAGTATTTTGAGACTTCCCATCTTGATAGGCGGAGCGGTGGGGCACGGGCAGGGAGCACCCGAAACAGGTTTCCCCAGGCCTAAACCGTTGGGCGGGTGATTGTTCCCCTGTATGAAGCAAACAAAACAAAAACTGTTGAGGTAAATTGTTAGTCAGCGTCTCCGCATTATGGACAAATTGTCGAACCAAACTTGTTGCCATCGGACAATCGGGGTGGGGGCACGTACGAGCGCAGATTGGTGAGCCATAGACACAGGTAGCCAGGGTCATGCTTATGCCTATTTTTGAAGCTTATATGATCACGATGAGAAGGTCAGCATGGGGTGTACATGATTTTGTATCCACAGAACATGATGCAGCGCTGCTGGCGCCTCTCAGTGCCGCTGGGCAAACGCGGCCTTGCCGTGGGCACACACAACAGACAAACGGTGGTCTCGGACAACGCAGAGGCGGAGCATCTGGACGCCTATGAGCAGCAGTATATGAAGGAGCGCATTGAGATCACACCATTTCAGAGGATTCTCCTGGGGGCAGGCTCCTCCATAGGCGCCCTACTGGATCCCAGACGGTACGTGGGATCTGGCCAATTGAAGATGATTTATTTTATCCCAGAGTTTAATCCCTTTACAGCCACGACATGATCGCCTGTCTGGGCGAGACCACTGGGGAGGATGCTTTGTGGAACATGCTGGACACCATGCAGGAGAGTGAGGAGGGTCAACGCATCATGGTCGAGAAGCCGCGCATTCACACCAGCACCATTGACTTTAAGCGGCTGGAATCTTTGCCTGCCGACACATTTGGAGCCGCCTATGTGAAGTTTCTCAAAGATAATGTAAGGATAAGCGCAGCTGGGAAGGAAGCTTGTCACTTCTCTGAACCTTTCAGAAAGTCACGCCGGACAGTCGCATGGCTGTGCGCTTCCTGGAGGATCCCAAGCTGGCATATCTGATGACGCGCTACCGGGAGTGCCACGACCTAATCCACACGGTTCTGGACATGCCCACCAATATGCTCGGCGAGGTGGCTGTCAAGTGGGTGGAGGCGCTCAATACGGGCCTGCCCATGTGCTACGGCGGAGCGGTGTTCGGGGCGGTCCGCCTACGTCCCAAGTGAGTTCGATGAACCCATTCGTTCGCCCATTGTAAGTATTTGCTTGGTTTTGTGACTTTGTTTTGTTTGCAGGCAGCGGCGTGCGTACTTGAAGCAATATTTGCCGTGGGCCCTAGAGAACGGCAAGCAGATGAAGCCTCTGATGCCCGTCTACTGGGAGAAACGCTGGGAGCAGAATGTGAATGAGTTGCGCGCCGAGCTAGGCATTAAATTGTTGAATAAAGTTTGAATATTTATAAAAAACGCCTTTAAGGGATAACTTCGATAACGTTACTATCGATCACATGAATATCGTTTCCTTTCGTGAACTAGTTCTTTAGATTATCTTCTTTTTTTTTTATCAATATACAAAGTTTTTTTTAGTAATGCAATAATTGTGAGTCGAGTGCATACAAATTAGAAAATCTTAAAGAAAATAAATTAATTTATCAGATAGTAGGATAAGGTGAACCAAAAAGAACTGAACTGATCATGCAGTGGATCATGAACGAACCAACACTATTGTGATGATGTGTTGCTGCTGTTGTTTTCTTTGCTTTGCTGCTCTGTTTAATGGCTAATTATTTTTTAAACTCCCACCATGGCCGAGAAATTCAATGGTTTTAGCCACGACGATATACTCAAAATAACCGGAATGAAGGAGGGCAGCAACGGGCACAGGCCACAGAGTGCGGAAGCAGGTTTGTTGCAAGATTAATCCTCAACAATTATTTTGTTTATAAAAAATATGATGGTGCGTGTGTGTGTGCGTGTGATTGCAGTGAAGCAAGCTCTCCGAAACCAGCCCGGCATTAGGCGCATGCCCGATAAGAATATCCGGCAGGGGCAGGCAGATCAATTGCGAAAGCAGCCACAAGCCCAAGCGAAGCCTCAACAAGTTGCGCCAGCAGCAAAGAAGACCACCACCAAATCGGGCAGAATTACACCCACGGAATCGACGGCAGCTCCCACGCCAAACACTGACGCTCCGGCTCAAGTTTCACTCAACTTGGAGCGTCCGCTCTCCGACTCTCTGGTCGAAGCTCTCTACTGTGGCAAGGCCTCGGCTCCCTCAACGGGCAGATCGGTTGCTACCACTGCCACGTATGCGGAAGCTGGGGCCGCTACCAGTGTTGCCGTTGCTAGTGGCGACAGCAGCGAAGCGACATTAGATGACAGCTCAATACTGAAGATAAGCAATAGTAAAAATGGCACTACCAGCTCTGATGATGCCGCCAGCATACTGCCCAGCACCAAAGACTCGTCGCGGGAGGGTCTGAACACGGACTCGCCCTTCAAGGGCGTCTCACTGCAGGACTTTGAGCAGCAGCGCAAGATGATCCAGGAGCAGAACAAGCAAAAGAAGCAAATGCTCTACCAGGCCATCGAGCAGCACACACAGAAAACGGCAGCGGAGTCGCGCAAAATCGAGGAAATACGTCACGAACTCTCCAAACTGGAGAACGATCTGGCCGTGGATGTGGCCATGCTGAGGAAGCAGATTGACAACGCTTGCATACATTTTGCCAATGTAGAGTGAGTATGCCATATATGCTCCCTTAAAAAGAGGATACGTAACCATTTGGCTATTCAGAAAACAATATGTGCGGATCGAGGCTCAATTCTTGAAGGCCAAGGTGGACCTGCACAATGCCTCGGAGAAGAAAGAACTGCTGACGGAGCATCTCTGCACTGTCATAGCCCACAATGAGGATCGCAAGGCGCAGAAGCTCACGGAGCTAATGCAGAAAGTGGGCCTGGCGCCAACGGACGAGCCACCGACCTCCCCGCCACAGAATCTGAGTGAATCTTAATGAATGGAATATTAGTTTTAGTATGTAGTTTTGAATGCTCTGTATTGTTTATGTCTATTCACTGTTCGTAATTAAGCAACAAAGTGCAAATCGCAATAAATAATGTGTATTTTATGTGTAAATTGGAATGATGCACATAATCCGTAAAGGGTACTTTTAAGTCGACCCCCTAGAATCCAAGATCTCTATTATGATTTGCTTATGCCACGGTGGCAACGCTGCTGCTCAAACAGCTGATCGATTCAAAGTGAATTAAATAAACGTGTTTATAAAACTTCGAGACTGTAATTAAGCTATAAATATAAGCAATGGCAGGACGTGGACGTGGAGGAAAGACTGGCACACTTACAGCCGAGCAACTGGCGATGCTTGGCTGTGTGAAGGACATGCCTGTGCAGTCAGCGCCGCAGCCAACGTTTCCGCCGGTGATGAACAAACCCATTGCCCTGGAGGTACGTTTAAGCCAGGAGAAAGAAACCATGATCAGAATCAATCATTAACACCTTGACCATGTTCCCCTGGCAGACAACAGTCGCACAAAACTATCAGCTGCTGTGGAAGGAGGATTTCCTGAATCGTATGCGAGATTCGCCGTATTACATTGTCTCAGCGTGCCAGGACAAACTGAATTTAGAGCACAAAGATTGGCGAGAGGTAGGTACTCTTCGTTTATATGACAGATATTATCCATTAGTTCTTTTCGTGTCCCTGCAGAAAGCTCTGGAGCGAATGAAGCTGAAATCACAGCCCGAGTTCAACTACAAAGCCATGCCCAGGGAACTGAATAGCTCGAATCGCAAGCGAAGGGGCGTGGATGCGCGACTCAAGCTGCTGACCAAGAAGACCAACATTGAGCACAGACTGAAAGTGCTGGAACAGAAGGAGCTGAAGACCGGTGCCGAAAATGAGCAAGACGACGGGAAGAAGGAATCGGATTCGGAGCAGGAAGAGGAACTGGACGAAGAGGCGGCCCTAGACGATGAAATGGACGACGAGAACGACTATGGCAACAGCTATTTCGACAATGGCGAAGCCTACAATGAAGAGGATGACAACCTGGACGATGGCCCCGTCATATAATCAATTAGTGTTGGATCTCTGGTTTACTATGTCGCCACTTTAAGCTTATTTCAAACACATTTCAAGTACATTATACATTAAGATGGATGTGACTTAATCCAAATCCTTGGGGGGGCTGTAGTTGAAGTATATCACACCAGAAGACTTGACCTGCAAAATGGGACTCAATTAGCATGGCCAGAGGATCTCAAATGTGATCTAACGGGTCGGGCACTCACGAATCCAATGGTTCCGGCCAACACCAACACGCCGGCAATGAGGATGGCATTGTATTTGGTGTTCTGCTGGCTGTTCTGCTCCTTCCAGTCGCCAGCGGGCACGGGCAAATCGTTCATTGTCGAGTGCTTGTGGTCGCCTACAGCGTGGTAGGCAGCGCGCGACATGACACCAGCTGGAATAACACGGAGAAACATTAGTAAGCGTATCCTTGGCCCGCCGCGGTATTGGAAAGGCTCGAAACTCCTGCGCCTGTCCCCCATTTGCGGCCCATCACGCATTATGTAATGTTTAAGGTTAGCAGCTGAGCCGTGAAAATGGCCCTGTGGGCTGCACTTACCATTCTTGAGCAGAAGCCCCTGCTTGACAATGTTCTTAACCAACATGATTGCTCGAAAGTTGCTGCAAAGGTTGAAATTGTTTAATATTTTCAAGCAATTTTTTTTTTGCTTCTGATTTTCTTACTAGAGGGCTCTATCGATAGTATCGATATTTTGCTGCTAGCCTTTACTATCGATGGTTTTGAGACTATCATGATAGTATCGAGCTACAGTCGTTGCGCTTTTGATATGTTTGGATTGGCTGCTCTAAAATACGAAGACACATTTGTAAAAAAATCGACAGGTGTCATATAATATTTACAATGGACAAGTTCCTTCAAGGCTTCAATGGTTTTTTAATAATTATTTGATCCCGATACTATCACGACAGTATCGATTGTTTTTTTTCAAAACATTCAACGTTGATATTCCTGGAATTTGATATTCCGTTTAATATTACTAGCTAGTTAAGATCCTCAGCACTAAACACACGATTTGATACGATTCATGAATCAATTTTTTACAAGATTAATTAATTTTGAGATTTTGTTTTCATGTGATTGTTTATAAAATTAGTCTCAAACAAAAAAGGTCGACACGTAGCGGAGAATGAAATTAGCGTAGCGATAACTATTACGGGGCCGCTAGTGTGGCAGCGCCAGCCAACAGCTGTTCAACTGAGTCTGCGGAGGCGTTTTATTTGCAAAAACAATAAGTAAATAGATAGTTTCTAGAAAGAATTGCTCTGCCCGGCGCTACAACAGACACTCCCCAGCCATGCTGTCCATTGGCGCCTTGGCCAACATCAAGCACATACTGCAGAAGGAGCTGTTCCTGGCCTCTGGCGAACGCCTCTTGTCAGTGGTGACGGTGGTCAAGAAGAAAGACAAGAAGCCCTGCTATCTGTGCGTGGTGACGACAGCGCCGCCGGTGCCCGTGGTTACTCTGTGTCTGGTGAAGCAGTCCGAGCAGCGGGAGGCCGAGTACAAGCGGAAGCGCAACTGGCAGCTGGACGAGATCAAGTCTGTCGATGGGCGGAACGAGCAGTTCGAGACGCACGAGTTTGACATTCAACTAGAGAAGCTCTACAAGTGGTATGCCCTCAACCTGCACGAGCGACAAAACTTCCTGGCCGTTCTCAATAGACAAATCCAGAAGTACGTGCGCGGTGTGCGCGCGGAGTTCCGCAACGTTCCCAGTGCTTGGCTGTCGGAGAAGTCGCCGGAGAAGGTGGCTCTGGGTCGGGCGGCACAGAAGACCCAGCACACCGATGACGAGGAAGACGAGGAGGAGGCGCAGGAGTTCACAGCTTTGACCGACAAGGAGGCCAACGAGCTGGGGAAACTCTTCTCTGAGTGTGATTTTGCCATCAAAGATGCCGAACAGTTTATAGACCAATTGTCCAGGGAGCTGCACGATCTGGATGGGGTAAGTAGAGGAAAGAGAGCTGATTTTCATGAGAGTTGATTGTTAAACGGTTGGCTGGGATGTCTCTTTCACACAGGCCAACATACAAAGTGTGCTGGCGTCGGAGCAGAAGGTGATGAAGATGATGGAGCACATTGACAATGCCATATCCGAGGCGGATAAGTTTGAAACTCGCCTGGACACCTATGAGGATATCCTGGGGCATGTAAGTCCATTGAAAATTTAATAAAGTAATTTTAATTGATATTTTTTATTTTCATTGCAAGGTCAAGGAGACCATGGAGAAGATTGGCGGCAAGAATGCGATGATAGAAATAGCCAACAACAACAACATCAAATTGATGAAGGAACTCAACAAAGTTATCGTAAGAAACTGCAGGAAAACGTCTAAACATCTGACTCATTTGATATTTGTATCCCTTAGAGCCAATTGGATTTGCCGCATAGTCAACAGCAGGCGCTGGACGAGCCCGACCTGAAGACTGTGGCTGGCCGCAAAGTGGCCATTGCCGCGGCGCAGTGCCTGCAGCAGGCCATGAACAGCGACATCGATCCGGCTCTGCTGCGGCTGGAGGCTGTGCAGGATCAGCGCAAGCGCTTTGAGAAGTGGAAAGCAAAAGTTCTCGGCCACCGTCAGTCGCTTCATGAACAATCTGTTCATCCATTTGGGTAACGAAATTGGGGACATGCCGCTGACAAACACCGAACTTTCGCTGCCCAATCACTCCAACGTGCATCGAGAACTGACACCTTACACAGAGCTGATGCACTGGACAAAGGCCATGGACCGCAAGACATACGATGGCCTGATGAAGGTCTACACTGCATCGCTGAGCAAGATCTACGACAGGGATGTGAGGAACTTCTTCAACTTGGTAGGGAATCGATTCACTGCATAAAAATTCGTTTCTTGAAAGGTTTCCCGTCTCTCGCACAGGCTAAAATGCAGGTATCGGAGAAGCTGCGCAGCTCTCGCGAGGATCTGGACATGTCTACCTCATCCCGCAAGTCAGCAATCTCCACCATTCCCTACGGCACGCTGGGCATCAATCGAGATCAGTGGGGGCCCGGCGTGGAGAGCGCGGACCGCGTGCGTTTCGATGCCCTGCTGGAGAAGGTCCTGGCCGAGCTGGAGCCCATCGCCCTGCAGGAGCAGCTTTTCTGCATTAACTTCTTTCAAATGGATGTGATCAGTCCTACGACAAAGAATACGCAGACCACGCTGGAAATGGAGAAAGCGGGGGATATGTCACAGTCTGCAATAGCGGCGGCTTCGCCCACAGCGGAGGGGGTGCCGCAGAAGCGGATCGATCGGCAGATCAACGAGGATGTGAGGAAGCTGATGATGGGACTGTTTGGCTGCCTCGAACCGGAGCTGGTCACGTTCATCCAGAGCTTCGAGCGGGTGGATAGCTTGTGAGTGAATGAACATTTCTGCCACTAAAGCTAAAGAATACTCTTTCTTTTAGCTACTCCTTGTACGTGCTGGTGCGACTCACGCAGCACGTCATGTCCGCACAGGACACACATTCCTTCCTCAGCATGACCTTTGCCTCGGCTTTGGTGCAGGTGAAGCGCAACTTTGATCGATTTATGCAGCAGCAGCTGCAGTCCATACGGGAGGCCAAGCTGCACAAGCGCTCCAAGGCCATTCTGCCGTATGTGGAGAACTTTGAGAACTTTGCCCAGACGGCGGAGGGCATCTTCCGCAAATCGGATCGTCGCACCGACATGGAGAAGTGGTACCTGCAGCTGGTCAACGCCATCTTCGAGGGCATCAGTCTGCACTCGCAGGAGCATCCAAAGACACCGTCGCAGGTGGTGCGCATGGAGAACTACCATCACATGTACGCTCTGCTGGCCCAGCTCAAGGTCCCTGGCCTCGACACACTCAAAAAGGAGGCAAAGACACGATACAACGAAGCGCTCAAAGCGTATGTGACTCAGTACTTTGGCAGGCCGCTTGAGAAGTTGAATGTAAGTCATTGACCCCACTCCCCCCAATCGCATGTCTCACTAAATTATCACTCTCTCTCTTTCTTTTTGTTTGAATTGATTTCAGCAATTCTTTGAAGGCGTGCAGCTGAAGGTGGGCCAGGGCGTCAAGGAGACAGAAATCAGCTACCAAATGGCCTTCTCCAAACAGGAGCTGCGCAAGGTGATCGCCCAGTATCCGGCGCGCGAGGTGAAAAAGGGCCTGGAGAACCTCTACAAGAAGGTGGATAAGCATCTCAGCGAGGAGGAGAATCTACTGCAGGTGGTGTGGCATGCCATGCAGGAGGAGTTCATTGCCCAGTACAATTACCTCGAGGAGCGTATCCAGAAGTGCTATGCGGGCGCCATGATCAATTTGGAGTTCAACATACAGGATATTCTCGCCTTTTTCTCGGACATAGCTCGCTCTCACTGAGTGGCAGGAGGAGTGCAAAGCCGTGCAGTGCAGGAGAGGTGGGAGTGTTAGAGCCTTTCCGAGTTTTATATTTAAGTGCAATAGTATTTAAAGCGTTGTTTCTTTTGATTGGAAAATATATGGCGCGCACATATTTAAGCAGCTGTTACCAGAGAGAGAGAGAGAGTCGGAGAGCAACAAAGATTGATCGAGAGAGCAAGCTTTGGGGGAGCAAGCTTTTGCGTTGAGCGGTTTCACCCGCTCGCCTTTGGAAGTTCTGAGTCAAGCTCTTCAAAAACATTTCGCGCCTCGTTCCATGCGGTCGTGTGATCGCGTCGTCTACGTCGTTCCCTCTAATTCGTAGCCAATAGTATTTTACTTTTGTGCATTTTAAATTTTCGTTACGTTCTTGCCGTGTATGTACGTGTGGTGTGTGTGCCGTGTCCGTGCCCCGTTTCTCCCCGATATGCAAATGCAAATTCAAATGGTAAATAATGGCAGCAAAAGCCGCAACGAGTGCAAATTAAATTAAATGTGGTGCATATTTTAACGAAAAATGTGTAAAACTCCCGACTGCTGGCTGTTTTTGGATATTTGAGCCGCTTCGTTGCCCCACAGTGGCCGGATCCGAATCGGGGTCCGAAGCAAACCGAACCGATACCGATTCTCCTTCCTGTCTGCGCAGGCGTTGCTGCCCCAGACCCAGACCGAGACCGAGGCCTCACGAATATAACGACCCGTTCGACCAGTTTTCAGGCTGTCTCCAGTCTCCTCTCCTTTGCATTTCTCATGCACACACGCTTCTCTTTAACTTCTCTTGTGTTTTTTTTTGTGCTCACGTTCTTCTACTTTTTCGGTTGCATTGTAGTCTCGTCTTTCCTTCCTATTCTCCCCTCCTTCGGTCCGTGGGCTTTTTACATTTTTTTTCTTTGCCTGGCGGTCATCGCTTTGCTGTATATTTTAACGATGTTTCGCCTTGATAAACTGAAACCCCCCCCCATCCAGACATCCCAGATCGTCTCTGCTCAGCACACACAAGTTCAATGCTGCATTGCCAATGCAGCTCAAGCTTCCGCCAAGCGCCGCTTCGAACAGCAATTAGTTAGTATGAAAGCGAAATAAATGGTTTAACCTTACAACTGTAAATGTTCTTGCCGGATCGTGATCGTGATAAGAGACCAACTGGGAGTAGAGTTTTATGTACTACTACGATTATGTGCAAGTGTTATCTATGTCATCAGCAAATAGTGCTATCGGGTAGGCCGATCTTGTGATCTTGAGAGCTTGAGTGATTCAACACACTCTGTGTACTCCTTGAACATTCAGCTAAAGCTAAAGGCAACAGTTGCTTATGATAACATTGAAACATAAAGCGCTATTCCCAGTTTTATATACATATCTTGTTACATCTTTGGAAGCCCTCAGAACTCTATCCAAAAATATACAAAAACAGCATAAACATAGACAGTGTGTGGTGGTGCTTTAGTACTTTTGAGTACATAAAAGAATCTGAGATGTCATCATTATTGTACTGCGGCTCCATCAAAGTTCTCATTTTGTATACATTCCGATTCGCATTCACGTTCTCAGACAAATATCAGGAATTTCCTTGAATGTCGCCATAGAAAATTCCAATTTGCTCAGGTTTAATTGTTGTGCCATTTTCTTCTTTTTGCACATAATAAACAGCCAGAATTAACGGATCCACACCTTGTGGAATATCGCATGCGTCTTTTCTGATTGTATCTGGCAAGAGCAAAGAGATATCTAAAGAGAGAAAGAGAGAGTGAGTACTCACTCTTGTTTTCGTTCTTAATCAAGTGTTTACTTGGCACAAATTGCTCCGCAAATGCCACAGGTATGAGGTATGGGGCTACGCAGTACAGTGCAGGAAATAGTATAGGGCTGTGTAATATCCGCTGTCGGATGCCGATGCCGATGCCTGCCTGGGCAATTGCATCGTAAATATTTGCACTTGGGCCATTATCTTTTGTTTTTCAATATATTCATTAGTTATTGCAATGCCGAGAATAAAGGCAGCCAGAGAACGAACAAACTCCCCCCATTAACTTTGTAGTTCGTGACTGAGTCATCAGGTTTTTTCCTTGGTCTTAGCCAGAACTTGAGGTTTACTTGAGGTTAGCCAGAGGCAACCGAGTCGCGTCGCGTCGCGTCGCGTTCTGACTCTCCTCAGTTCTCACTTCTTGCTCGTATCTCGTACCCTTTTTTCTTTTTTTTTTCTTTTGGTCGTTCTTTTGCATTCTGTTGCTGTTGGGGCGGGTGCTAGGTGCCGGTTGCCTGCCAGCCCAAAGTCTATAAAAAGTTAGTGCTGTGGGCCGCACATTTCTTGTTTGTGACCGTTATTCTCTGGGGCACCTACCGAGCCTAGACTTGCACAAATTTGCTGGTGGTCTGTCTCTTCTCTCTCGCTGTCATCAGCAGAATGGCTTGCTTGCTTGCCCCTGTACTTGGATTCTAATCTGCACTGGGGGGTTGGCTGGCATCGCTGCCACTGCTCTACGTGCCGCTAAAAAAATAAATAAAATTTAAACCTCTTTTCTATGCAGTTTTCGGAGCGTTTGGTAATCAAAAGCTCAAGCAATATGCACCGTAAGTGTGCTATGTGCATATAATACCCGTCTCCGTCTTCGTCTCCGTATACATATATGTATATAGTTATGCATGTGGAAAACAGTGAGTGTTGTGTGTGGTGTGTGGAACAATGGAACGTTATACCATAAAATGTGTATAAATAACCCCAAACGGGGGTTGCATGTCACCTGTGCGCCTCCACTGGGGGCGGGGTCCCTGGGAAAATGAAGTCACTCTCGAGCGGCCAAAATAAATAAAAAACGAAGCGAGAAAAGTTACAACAAGTGCTAACTGAATATATTCATACATACTAGTCTCATACTCGTATATTGTATACCCAAACTGGGGTGCAAGCGCAGTGAATCTTTCTTTATTGTTGAGGTTCTCAAAATGTAAGCCATGTGAACCAACCCAACGAAAACAGACAGGCCCTGACAGTAGTAGCAGTAGCTATAATAGAGATGTAATAGATGCAACCGATGCAACAGATGTTGCAGAGGAAAGTTTAATTCAAGTGGAGCGAAATGCGATGCAAAGTAAAAACTACAGACCCTCTATCTACCTTCTTCGCTGCTGGAAACTATAGCAGGAATATTTTCTAATCCACCCAATAGCCTCTGAAACATCTCTTGGCAGTAGAACCATTAAAATTTCTAGCATTTATCCATTTATTCACATTACACTACCAGGAAAATCATAGATTAAAATGTACTCCCGAGACCCAAACCCATAGATAGGCAATGATCTCATCATCAACAGAGTTGGAGTGTTGGAACTCCAGCACAGAAAGAAGCACGTCACATTTAATTAAGTGTGGAATCAGTGAATATGGCAGATTATATGTGGAACCTGTACTCAGCATGGAAGGGCCAGTCAGAAGCGAAAGAAAAACAATGGCAAAACCCAACCAGAATCTCTGGCTCCAAATCCAGAGACACTCCAGAGTCGCAGACACATTCCATAACTGGGAGACCATTTATGGTGTCAGTAAGGTACACTGCAGCCTGTAATGGCCATGATAATGATGCCTCTTTGCTGCCTCGCCACCAGAACGCCACAAAGTGGTGCAATTTGGTGGCATGTTGGGTTCTTGGCCGCGGCGGACTCTGCCCGCCAGACTGTTGCTAGAAAGTGGAGAATAGCAAAGAGTACAAAAAGAGTAATGTAAAATAAAGTAAAGCATGCTGGGGGAAAATAGCTATGCACTCATTTTGGTAACTGACAGGCTGGCTCCAAGCTCCGAGCTCCACAAAGAAGAGGTTGCGGCTGGAGTTGGGGCGGCCTGGGGAACCAAGGCAGTCAGCTCTCGGCTCTCGTCCCCTTTTTTGTTGTGTTCTGTCTGGTTTGGTTTGTTTTCTCCGTGGAAACGTGATTGGGAGGAGAGTGGAGTGGAGCTGTGGAACTCGTGTCTTACATTATATATAGACCAGTTTCCTCATTTTGATGTGCCCGGTTCTAATGCGCTTCCAAACACATTCTCTGTGTTTCCACTTTTCCAACACAATTACCCCCGAGGCCATTGCCGACGAGAAATGACTTGGAGGCGAGACGCTTTTGACAGCATTTGCATGGTATTAGGAGGAGAATCGGAGAAGATTTCCATTACCATTATCTCACAAAATTACCCAAAGCCATCAACAAATATCTTTTCGAATATCAAATTTCCTTGCAGCAAGCACAAAGTACCACAAAAGCATCAGGCCACAGAAGCTGTATAGAATTCCGTGACTCTTGGCTTTGAATATTTCCTGCTTTTGGGTAATTTATTATGCTAAGAACAGATCTAGAAGATCCTAAACAGCTAAGGGCACAAAAGGTGTTATGTTTGGGGCATTTTAAACATGAATGAATGAAGAATGAACCCCACAATGAAGAACTCGGATATAGTTTTTCTATCGTAGATCAAGCTTCAAACTCGTTTATAATCAATTATCTCTGGCTGTTCTATTAAATATAAAATTCGGTTAATGCCAATCCCTCTATTAATGTTCGCTTGCGCACATTAAAAAATAATTTCCTTAATTTACTATTACTAACTCCCAAGAAACAGAAAAAAATAAACAACAAAAAAGCAAAACAAGCCGAAGCACTCTTCCTATGAAAATATATATATATATATATATATGTGTGTATGTTTAAGCCCTGATTCTCAGCCTTCTCGAACGAACTCCCTCCCTCCCCATCCATAATCATCAGAATCATGAATAATAAATGCGCAAATGTTCTGGGGCCATGAAATACAAGTATTAGTAGTATTAGCTGGATGCATGCTAAATTATTGTTAAGAATAATTGTTTGTTGAGTTGCTTGGTTTATAATTAGAAATGAGCCGGAAACCGGTAACACTCTATCGTTTCGCGGCACGACGTAGGAACATCTCCAATTGTAATTAGTTATTGGCAAAGAATCTTCTGGCTGCCTGGGCTTGTGCCTGTGGCCGGCTCGTCCATTGAATCATCATTAAGAAAAATGCTCGATTGAGGAACTCATTAGCATTACGATGACGACGCGCAGTATCTGTATCTGCTGCCATCTCTCTGGGAACGAAACCCTGTTGTTCTCCTCCGTTTTTGTGTGTGTTTGTGTTGCATTGTGCGAACAGTCGAAAAGTCAAAATAAAACGGAATTCAATTACACGCTGCTGCGAAACGGCGAACGAATGAAATTGTAAATGCCGGAGCGACCTTGAAAAGTGGGAATATACTCGTGTACTCGGATAATACCTTTTGCCCTCTAAAGGCAGCAGACAGCAGGCAGCAGCAGCAGCAAAGAAGCAGCACTTCCTCAAACCCATGGACATCGACATCGGGCCCTTTCCTCCTGCTCCTCCTTGCAGGGGTTCGCCTGACGTTACCTGACGGGGCATGTGAAAGAACTGCTGAGAGGTCTCAGGGA